CAGCTCGAGTCTTGAATCTCGAATGATAGATTTTCCACACAGTCCTTTGATATCACCATTGAGACTATAGCATTCTCGGAAGCCCGGAGTTGGTTTGAACCAAGTCGAACACAAGAGGCCTCGAACCTGCCATGCAATTGTCTAATCTCTGGCTTCAAGTCTATCTACGTCTACCCCGGCCTGAGTATATTGAGTACCTCCATGAAGCTCGCTCATCATAATGATGACATGTTTCAATCACATATTGTCATCTGTACGTGCCTTCCCGCATCAACCGTCTATCCTATACTCTGCATCAGACATGTTCGATCATTTCTACTTCGATCGATCAACTCAAGCATGACAACAGCCGACGTGATGATGATGATGATTCAAACAAGGTCCTGTACCTAACCTTCTATCGGCGACCACGGATAGAGGGCCTCGATCTCCCCGCGTGGCAACCGAACAACAAGAATGCGATCGATCGATCAGCCATCCGAGAGCAATACGAGTAAGTGATTTGACTCTTGCATCACCACGCCGCCAAGTCTTCTTCATTTGTGATGCGTCTCAAAACTCTGATGTCAAACGGACAACATCATGACTTCATCGTCGTTCCCGGAACACACTTATAAAGAGCAACTCAAGCACCACCAGATGTCAAATTCATCCAAGAAACAAACCAATCTATCTCTCCATCTACAGTACCTTTACCACAAACCTCTTTCTACACCATATCACAAACCAGCACCATGGCCTCCAACACCAACCCCGGAAACTTCTCCAACCGCTCCCACGAGGAGGTTCAGAACATCGCCCGCAAGGGCGGCCAGTCGAGTCACTCCGGTGGGTTTGCGAGTATGGACCCGGAGAAGCAGGTATGTCCTTAACCCTTATTGTATACTTATATGTCCAACTCGTGAGCATCGGCGATTCTAACCAGCGATCTCAGCGCAACATCGCCTCCCAGGGCGGCCACGCTTCCAGCGGAAGCTTCAAGCCCGGCGACCCCAAAGCCCGTGCTGCTGGACAGAAGGGTGGTTCGAAGTCCCAGTACGACCAGGAGACTCCGGATGAGTAAATGCTGTGTCTGGTTGATGGACAGGAATTATGATGATTATGCCATGTATAAGATGCGATTGACGAATGTAACCATATGATGTATGATATTGACTTTGTCGGACGAATGTTACTATCGCCACTGAAGTGAGCAAGTGATTGATCTTTTTTCTTTTAGTATCTTTGGGGAGCGAGGGAATTGTCTGCATTATTCCTGGTTGAGAATCTTGCGTCAAATTGCAATTGGCAGGTGATTCTGGCAAAAGTTAACTCGATGGTTGCCGGCAATAATTGAAAGGTAGTTCAGAAGTTCGGCTGAGGTAATGGGGCGAGGGTCTGCAATACGTCGTGAAGACATCACACCTCTTTCGGTACCCGAGCCTTGGCCGTTTTCAGTCACTTATCGATTCTTTCAACATTGTACGAAGCGAAGCATTCTCTTCGTCTCATACTTTATTTCCTGCCATTGAGCAGTTCGATTTGCAGTATTACTCTTGTCTGTCGCAGAGTGGCGGTATGGAGCATCTTGTCGGATTCTGCTCAGCCACGAGACTCGCCCGACGCTTAGCTCGTTCTATGAACAGTCAAATGTCTAGACGGACTACCTTGTACCTTTTCGGCATATGCATGGAAATTTCTATTGAGCATGATCTGCCGATAGTCTAGTTATTTTGGTGATCTTTGCCCGCTTGGACCAGTGCGTCTTAAAGCAAACGAACGGGACCATGTGCCGTAGACTGTGTACTAGTATTCCCCGGCCAGCAATAGCCGAAAGGTGTGTCCATCAGAAGCCCAGAATAGGCAAAAGGAACCCAGGAGGATGGATCCATCGTGCAAGTTAGCCTTGTAGGGCCGAGTACCAGAGGCAGTGCCTGGCCGGGACTAAGTCTGTACGAATGCTGCTGGCAGAACACTCTAGACCAATTACGAGGCGTCAGCGTAGGTCGAGATCTTCATCAGAAATCGCCAGTATCCTAAGCCCTGGTCCAATATCGCTTTGAACTGAGCATCGTACAGGAAAGAATCCGCCACGTGAGTCTCTGCTCGTGCGAGAACAGCATCAGAAATGAGCGTCTCGGGCGCAGATCGTTTCGAATAGTGTCAAAAATCCTAACTCACGCACATAAAGTATGAGGCTAGAATTGTCTTTCTTCACGGCCGTACTGACTAAGCGGCAGGTGTGATGTTGCTTGGAAGGGATTCGTCTCGATTTCCTAATAAGGTTATCGTGATGTTGCGGCTAAAGGGTCAGTTTGAGGCTTAAGGGGGTGGAACTAGGGTCACGAAGGGAAAATTTTAGCCCCAGCCAGCTTCAAGCCTACGGTATAAGCCCCCTTCTAGTGCGCGCTTCTAGAAGGTTGTCTAATCGCGGAAAGGATAGAGGTCTAGACTTTGGCTGGGTAAAGGTTGATCTGAGTTTGCAGAATTGTGTGTATTCTTTAATTTCGAGGTTTGGCCAGGAGATAGACTTTCGATTGACGGATGAGATTTATTTTATTCCGCTGTGCCAGCTTGGTCTCAGAAAGTTTTTGTCCAAGATTGGTCTGTGGTACCTTGTAAGTTATAGGGTTGGCACGTTTTAGATTATTGATCTAGCCGGCCGAAAGACCTCTCGAACAATATCGTCTTGCAAAGCGCACGGGGAAGGCCTACCCGAAGGGGATATCATCTGATAACCCAGGTAAATCAACAGCAGTGCTGATGCGCCTGGTGTCACAACCTACACAACATAGATACAGTGTAGACCGTTGAGCCGAATGACTTGCTCGGCTGGAACCTGAAACGGGCCAGGGGTAGGCCGGATTTTCTAGCTTCTGCACTGCTGCTAGACGAGCAGTGGGGCCCGAAACGACGGTAGGGTGCCAGTAAAAAGCAATAGCGCCGAGATTGACGCCCATGGCCCGCCGACACCTTGAGCAAATTCGAGACGTGAGGGCGAAGGGGCCAACCTTGAAGAATTAACCTAATCCGAAACGGGCGTCAAGGGCCGATTCTCTTGAACGGTGCAGAGTGGCTAAGCCGCTAAGCCCGCGTTCACCCGCCAAGCTTTTCTCAGTGGGCACTGGGAAAAAGACACTTGGTCAGGTCAGGTAAAGCCCAGCAGGGCTGTTTATCCACCTACAATCCATTTCCCTGGATGACCTTACAGTGTGGGAAGTGTAGGGAACTAGAACGATTGAACAGAGAGTCGAGATTCATGACCTTCTTTGGATCACCCCATGGACCTCAGCTGGAGGATACATGAAAGTGGGTGCGCTGTCGCAAGATACAGGTTGCATACTTGGTTGGAATCTGAATCGGCCTCAACTGCGTTGTTCGAGACCGGAAGTTGGTCCCCATCACCCCGGGTTTCATCCCATCGATGGCGGTCGATTCGCTTGACGACGGTCCCACTGCATTCGAGCATCAGGATACGTTGCGGGTGTTGAGAATTGCCATCTGTCCAATGCGATTCTGACTAAGTAAGAAGAGGTACTCCGTACACCGCAGCTGTATGGTGATTGAAGGAGTTTTTCATGAGTTCTTGACGGATGATCGCCATTGGTTCGAACGAGCCACTAACGTCATAAGTCAGGATTTGTTTGGATCAGAATGCGAGCGATGTTGCCGAAGGATCTCCTATTGGTGCCACAGCATGTCTGGCATTAAGATCGCACTCCTCGGCCACCGTTTCAGTCAATCGGAAAAATCGCCTGGATGCGGCGTAGTGGCACAGGAGACGGAAGGTTAATGTGAAGCCGACAAGCCGTGGCTCGTCCGTTGCGTGAGCTTGTAAGAGGGTTAGGGGGGAGGGGGGAAACAGTCACTCAGGGGGGAGGGGGGAAGGGGCAAGAAAAGATGGACGGCCCTTTTGAAAACTTGATGGGGGCGCACATACCTCCCGCACTGGAAGGCCCTCATTCCTTCTCATCGAAGGAGTATTGTAAATTGTAAGTTCTCCCTTCCTTCAGACGATTTTTCAGTCGATGGTAGACATGATCTCATCTCAATTGAATCAATGTGACAAAGGCCAGATAGACATAGACTACTCCATATATTCAGAGGCAGTAGAAAAAAGGAGCATACAAGCTCCAGTGAACAAAAATACTGAGTAAACATGCAATCTTATCAGAAGATCTCCTAATTATTATGAGTACCTATGCATACGGTACCTTTTCGTCTTCAATTGATTATTGAAGGTTGTTTTCTGCCCTTCCTGGGGGGGGGTGGAACGGTTCACCAGCACCACCAGCAGAGTAAAGAGTAACGGTGGAACGAGCTAAATTGTTCTCGGTGGAGCCTAGCGCCAAGGGTGGATTCGCTAGCCCTGGCTTGACTTTGCCCAACCAATAGTAACCTCAATCCAGGCGGGGCTCCGAGCAACAGCGCCGCTGAGTCATCAGAGGACGCGCAAGCCTTTTTACCTGATTTCTATTCCTGGTCCTTTCTCTCTTCTCCTGGCGCCGAGTTCCCTCCAGTCCGTCCCTCTTCGTCTCCAGTCGACCTTTTGCAGTCTCCAGCAACCAGCTCCATCCATCCATTATCCCCACTGCATAGACGGGCCAACCTTCACGCCTCCAGCTGTATCCCTCATTAATTCCCTCTTCCCATCTCACCACCACCACCACCCACCACCGCCTTCCTCCTTCACACAACATCTCCCCACCCCCCTAACTGTACTGATCCTCAATTCTTCCCATTGAGTCGGCTCTTACTCTTGTACAATACCCCATCTGCCTCTTCACATCTCTCCTCCCCAATCACACAACATCCTTCCATCTCTCAACTGCAAGCCCTTCCGACTATCGCTTCGACTCGACTGCTCCTCATCGTCTCTCGTTATCCCTATTCTCAACCGACCCTCGTGACTCTCGTTTGTATTCGACACTGATACTGGCTGAGACACCAATCCCGTCGCTAGCAACGAGTCTTCTTGACCACAGTCTCGCTTCCTCCTTTCCAACCACAGTTTCGTCATCATGGCTACCTTGGCGGAACACCCGGCTGTTGCGCCTTCAACTTACGAACAAGACATTGAATCGTTCCTGAATCTAGACCAACTCGCTTACACCACCGCGGAAACTGCTCGAGCAAAGACCGCACTCATCACTCAACCCACTCTCCCCAGCATTGAATTCAACGCAGGCGATGTACGAAGTGCTGGTTTCGCTTCGACAAACCCAACGCCAGTTGCGTTTCAGGCCCCGAGTCACCAGTATGACGAACATAAGCAACAAACCGGCCTGCCCCCGGGCGCCTTAGCTCATGCCATGACATTCAACCACATGAATGGAATGGGATTCGGTGGTGCAAGCCCCAACTACCCCATCAATGGGGATATGTTCGCTGGTAGTCAGATCAAGCGCGAAGAAGCTCCGATGGATTTCAACAGCCCCCCGACACGGAACCCTTCCGAAATGGACCTGGAGTCTGACAATATGGGATCCGCCTCGGCCTATTTCCTTTCGCCGAACCCCAGCAACAGAAACCAGTTCGTGGATCCAACCGCCTTGAGCGGTCATGAGGTTGTTCCCGCTGGTCCGTCCACTCAAGTGGGTCGCATGTATCCCGGTATGCACCAGCAGCAAGCTGCCATGGCCAAGGCAGCACAACAACAGAGACATCACGAATTCCTCCGTCAGCAGCAATTCCAGCAGCAACAGCGGCGCTTGGACGAGCATATGCATCAGCATGGGGCTCCTCACAGCCAGACTCCCCGGCCACCCAACCCACTGGTTGAGGAGCGGATCTCACGGCTTTTGCAGCAGATGCGCCAGAATGCCATGGGCTCCCCCGACGACTCGCCTTCTCCTTCTTCATCTCTGCCTCAGATGGCTAAGGCCAAAAAGGACGAGCAGGATATGGATGAAGATGAGCGCCTCCTGGCTAGTGAAGAGGGCAAGAAGCTGAGCAGCAAGGAACGTCGCCAGCTCCGCAATAAGGTTTCTGCTCGTGCCTTCCGTTCTCGCCGAAAGGGTATGTACCAGCGACGGGTTTTAACACAGAAGGGTTGTAGCTGATCAAATTCGCAGAATACATTGGTCAACTCGAAAGTGAAGTTGCCGCCAAAACCAACGAAGCTCATGAGCTTCGTCTTCAAAACCGTGCCCTATTTGAGGAGAACGGTCGTCTGACTGACCTCGTTCGCACGCTCCTGTCTTCGCCTCATTTCGGCCAGGTTCTAGACGAACTCAGCGTCGGCGGTGTCCCGATGTCTAGCCAAGCGCAACCACAGCAACTTCCTCAACACCAACATCAGCCGCAGCCTCAGCCTCAACAGCAATCAGTACACCCTCAACCACAACCCCAGCAACAACCACCTATGCAACAGCCCTCTCAGGCTGGCATGGTCATGGTTCCTAGCCAGGGACTTGATGTTTCTGCCATGGGCATGAACAATGCAGGTTGGAACTCGGGCATTGATATGAACTTCGGCAATGCTTCGGTCTTTGCCGTTCTGGAGGTCCCTGCGCCATTTATCGATTCCGAGTCTCTATCTGGAAAGTCTTCCACCTTCATGGAGTCTTGCCTTCCCAACATCTCTGGTGCAAAGGGTGAAGCTCCTTTTCTCGAGTCTCTACCCGTGGATGCTAAGGAGCCCGTCACTGTCGGCGTCGAGAACCCGGATGTCGAGATTGACGAGTCTGATCCCGCTTTTGCCCTTTTCCTGGACGCGCCCCGTGCTTCTACCTCGGAGTCCCCTGCGATCTCCTTTGGAGCTTTCTCTGAGAAGCCGACAGTTACGTTCGATTTGGTGGTCGAGAACCAGCCTCGGGAACGTGACACTCGGTTTGCTCAACTCTGCCACAGTATGGAGGCCGCTTTTGACCGTGTTTCCTTGATGACTTCTCACCTCTCATGATTCCCCTTTTTGCACTTTGAGTTTGACAATTTTGCGTGATGTAAGCCTGCTCGTGTGCTGGCTTTCCGAAATACTCAGGTGTAGACACCGACGTCTCTCTTTTGTCAATGATTTTCTTCTCTGGCTATACATCATCTGCTTCAAATGCAGTCTCCTGCACTCGATCTGGGTCCCTTTTACTTCCATTTCTCTTTCCATTTGTTTTTACTTCGTTTTTTTTTCTTTTTTGGCCTTCATTACATGCCTCTAGATGCTTGGGGGGTCTCGAATGTGCTTATGGGGTTTATACGGATCGGTTTCAAAGGACGGGCTTATATAGGATGGAAGGTACTGGATACTGGCGGATAAGGAAACACAAGGCAACTACTGCAATACAGAACATATCCAAAAAGTTACTATTGAATATAGTGTAAATATGATTCGAAACGAAGTCTGGACTGTCGTTGGAAATATTGAATTCGGTAGTAGGTGGTTACTTGGCCAATTAGGTCAGTGGAACCGTGGACGCTGCGTGGGTGGAGCTAATTCTTTCTTGGTTGGATCGCCGCGGTACTCACTGCAGCTTTTGTGAATTTCTGTTTGCCTTCCCTCCTCCTTCATCATTCCTTCCCATGATAGTCGGACAATCCCTATCTGCTCTATGCTTCTAACACTATGATTATTTACGATTGCCAAAATTCCAGCGCATTTTGATTAGTAGGTATTCGTTCTCGCTCTTTTCCAATCTCAACCACACTGGCTTCACTTCGGCTCCTTAGGAGGCCGACCGCCAGCGCCTCTCCACGAGCTAGCTTCACGTCAATTTCCCCATCTACCACCATTCTTCCTTCCATCCTACGCCTCCGGAATACCCGTTCCATAATTTCCAGAACATACAGACGAACTCATCAACCAATCCTCACATCTAGAAGTCTACTCGAAGCAAGGCATCTCCTCCCCGTTCCTCGCGTCGTTGATCCCGCATTCAATTACAATTACATTTTCTACGAGGATAAAGACAACCCAAACAAGGGCTTCACGTCAAAACCATCGGTAGACCAGATCAATCCCATGAAGTTCTACTATCAGGTGGTAACTACGCCGACGGCCGACACCCCGGGCAGCGCTGTCGTCCTCAACTTTCCCGATAAACGCTACCTCTTTGGTCAGATCGCCGAAGGCACGCAGCGAGCATGCGCGGGCACGTCGGTCAAGTTCGGCCTCATGACCGACATCTTTCTCACGGGCCGCTTGGAGATGAACAACGTGGGAGGGCTGTTCGGCGTCATCCTCACGCTGGCCGATGGCCTGGCCAGCGCCGCAGCCAATTTTTCGGAGAAGCACAAAAAGACAGAGAACGAGGAGCGGAAGCAGAAGCAGGACCCCGCTCAGGCGGGCAAGGGAGATGAACTGCCTATTCGACCGGGAAGCAAGCGGGTCGCGCAGAGAGGGACCCTGACGGTTCACGGCGGGAGAAATCTCACGCACTTGATGGCCACTGCGCGCAAGTTCATCTTCCGCAAGGGTCTACCCATGTATATGCAGGAACATGATGAGCACAGCCTGGCTGGGCAGCGTGGGAGTCCCCCCGACCCATACGAACAACCGACGTGGTCGGATCAGAACATCAAGGTCTGGGTCATGGCCGTGAGCCCTGAGTCTCATTCCCGGTCTAAGGGCAAGCGCACAAGGAAGCGCAGCCACGAGGAGTTTCGCGAGCAGGACACAGCTGAGGTCGAGGAGAAGAATGCTGCAGCGCTAGCCGATCAGGTTATCAGACAAAACGTGGTGTCGAACATGTTCAACTCGACATGGACACTGGATGCGTTACAGGAATCTAAGTTGGCAGACGTGCAGATGCCCGCGGTCATTTTTGTTAGGGACCCGGAAACCAAGGATTTGCGACGGTACACCGGCCCGGCTCCTGGAGGCAGCATGCCGCTTCCTGACATTACCGTTCTGGTGCGCAAGCCTTGGCCTGGTGCCAACGTGGAGAGGATTCCTCCCGCGTCTTGGAACGAAGACGCTATCTCTTACATCGTCCGGAACCACAACATCAGAGGGAAGTTCGACCCTCTCAAGGCTCAGGCTTTGAAGGTCCGTAAAGGCCCCGATTACTCCCAGCTGACTAGAGGTGAAAGCGTTCTCTCAGAGGATGGTCAAACTATCACGCCGGATATGGTTCTAGATGAGGAAAAGGTTGGCAAAGGTGTCGCAATCATAGACTTGCCTTCGCCAGCTTATGTGGAGAACCTGGTCAACCGCCCTGAGTGGGACTCACCTACGGCGTCCTTGAATCTGGAAGCCTTCATCTGGATCCTAGGCCCCGGTGTGGGAGATCACCCCAAGCTTCGAGAATTCGTCGCGAAGATGTCGCACTGCACGCATACGGTCTCCAGTCCCGATTACTGTCCCGATTACCTGGCCATGAAAGAGGTTGCCGAGTCGACGGCGCAGATGGCCATGGTCAGGCCCGACAACTATGCCCTGCCTGTCTATGACAATGTGACTGTTCCACAATCCAGGCCCTCCAATGAAGCAGTGGTCCCATCAAACAAGCGTGCCCCTTTGCGACCTCTAGAGCCGGGCATGATTATCAACATGGAACCCACTTTCGGAGTCGATGAATCTGAGGTTACTCCTCTATACGATCCCAGAAATGCGAAGGAAAAATTGCCGAAGGACGTTCAGACTTCAATGAAGGTTATATCTGGACAGGAAGAAACTCCCGAGTTCCAGGATAAACTGGCAGCATTCCGGCAGGACCTCCCCGGCGCTGACGTCGAAATCATCACTCTGGGAACTGGGTCATCTATACCATCTAAGCATCGAAATGTCTCCAGCACGCTCGTTCACGCACCAGGCAATGGTTATTACTTACTCGACTGCGGCGAGGGCACTCTTGGACAGCTCAAGCGCGTCTTCGGCCCTGCGGCATTGCGCGAAGTTTTCCAGAATATGCGGATGATTTGGATCAGTCATCTCCACGCTGACCACCACCTTGGTATCGCAAATGTGATCAAGGCCTGGTATCAGGCAAATTATCCCAATGGTGTGTCACGGACCGACGTGATCGAGCAAGACATGGCCACGATTCTACGGGATAAGTGCCTGTTCGTTGTGTGCGACCAAATGATGACTACTTGGCTCGAGGAATATGCCAGTGTCGAGGATTACGGCTTCCAAAAGGTGACGGCCCTTAGCGCTATTCCCCAACAGGTCAAAGGCGGTACTTTTGAGACATCATTTGAGTATCGCCACTGTCGCGCCAACGGTACTTTCCCTGGGCAAATAGAGGCGGGATCTCGACCCAAGACAACCACGCTCCGGTTCCAGGATGACTCGGACCCCCTCTCGGCTCTTCTCCGTGAGGCGATCGGCCTTTCCGACATCTTGCCCTGCCGGGTCCAACACTGCCGTGGATCCATGGCTGTGACCCTTGTGTACCCCGATGACTTCAAGCTCTCCTTCTCCGGCGACTGCCGTCCCTCGTGGAACTTTGCAGCTACAGGCCGCGGCTCGACGGTTCTCATCCACGAAGCCACTTTTCAAAACGACATGGCGGGGAGCGCTATCGCTAAGAAACACTCCACATACGCCGAAGCCTTGGAGGTTGCGCGTCAGATGCAAGCCCGGGCCCTGCTTCTCACCCATTTCAGCCAACGCTATCAGGGAAATGTCGCAATGAAGAACGACCACACTTCGCAAAAGGCCAAGGGCGGACCAGATTCGAACAGCTCTGCCAACCTGCGAACCAAGGACGTCCCTGACGACGAGGAAGGGCTGGCGGAGGAGGGCAACCCCCAGCTTGAGGGCGCGAACGAAGACACCGGCGGCGTGATCACTGCCACGCCCCGCACCCAGTACAACGGGCCCTACGTCAACGCCTTTGACTACATGCGTGTCCGTGTCGGAGATTTCCCCATCCTCCAAGCATATGTACCGGCCATGGAGAAGCTGTTTGCGATCCTGGAGGAAGCTTCAGCGGCCTCCGGGGAGAAGGCGCAGCAGCAAAGGGCGACAAAGAAACAGAATTCGAAGTCAAAGCTGGCTAACAAGAATACTGAAAAGACTGGGAAGGTTAGAAATTCTGGGAACACCAAGAAAGTTGAGGGCAAGGAACGATTTGAGAAGGCTGCCAGCCGTTCTCACAAGGCTTCCACCTCCTCGGCTGCTGATAAGGTGGAGGTGGTCGCAGAAGTTGGAACGGCTCAGGAAGATGGAAACCGTGGAATCATAAGAAGAGTTGGGTGGAGTGTTGAGGAGGCTATCAGCCGTGCCCCGACGGCTTCGACCTCCTCGGCCGACGAGATGGAGTTGGCTGTGAGTGCCAGCATTGAACGAGCTGAAAGGGCCGCGGAACGAGCTGAGAAGGCTGCCGAAAGAGCCGAAAGGGCTGCTGGACGTGTCGCTGGGCGCGCCGCCAAAGCTTCCTCCCTCCCCCCCGACGAGTCCGATGAGGATCGCAATGCTAAAAGACCTATCTGGGCTGAAAAGCGCGCTGCCAGACGCGCTGCCCGAGCCTCCGCCTCCGCTTCCTCCGCTGACGAGATGGAAGTAGACACCGAAGCAGGAAGGCCCAGAAGATCTCGCAGCCCTACCAGAGCTACTACTCCCAGACGTGCGGGCAAGGCCTCCGCCTCCCCAGCCTCCGAGACGGACAAGGACGCCAAAAAGCCCAGGGCACGTTCGAGGTCGAGGTCGAGAGCGAGTGAGTCCTGAGCGGTGTTGGGTGAGGGAGACGCCAGTGGCAGTCCTCGGGCTAAGGCATCCAGTGCGTGAAGAGTGTTTTGTTTACAGGTGCGGGCTCGGCTGTTCCGTGGGTATGGGTTGGGCTTTGGAAGAGTGAGCTTAGAAGTTATTCTTATAGATACCAGGTCTCGTTGGAGGTGTACATAGTTCACCTTGTATGTAGTATTGTAAATTGAGACAAAAAGTCGGGGATCGATTTCGATCGATTACGCATGAACATTAACCTTAGTGAACTTACTTTCTTCCTATCGGTTGGCATGCTACCATGTAAGACCTCTTGTGGCACAACTTAGCTCCCCAGCAGAGCATGCACGTAGGGGGAATATTTGAGCATTTACCCCAATATCATTAATCTATACCCACAGAGTCCCGGTTCTTTCCCCAATTCAATACAGACACACACTCGAGCGTCTCTTCAGCCCCCCCGTCCCTCTATCGATATTTTCAACCAAAGCTCGTCAATCAATATAAGCAAAAGATTTCTTCATGTACACAACTACTTTCACCACGACACAACTCTACATGGCCCACCAAAAACAGTTTTGCCTACGGTTTCTCTCGTTGTGGTTTTCTCAAACGCCAGCGGGAACCTTCTCCCGGTCATCCTTGCCGAACAGCCCCTCCCCGAGGTTCTGCATGCACTCCTCGCCCCAGTTCTGCGGCGTGAACTTATCGACGATCTCCTTGAAGGCGTCCAGCGTGCAGAAGGTCTCGTCGCCGGGGAGGTGGTTCTCGGGCTTGGCGGCGCAGCCGGGGACGCGGACGATGCGGTCGTTGTAACGGATGCGGACGTAGTGGGTGCGGAGGGACTGGCGGGCGGAGTCGGGGAGGGCGGCGAGGGGGACGCGATCGGTTTCGGGTTGGGATTTCGTGGAGGGGAGGAGGGAGAGGAGGGAGGAGCTTCCGCTTTCACTGGCGGTGCTGTTGGTGGGAATGTTGCCGTTGTCGGAGGCTTTGGAGAAGAGTTCGATGGCCACGGAGGAGGTGAAGGGGGGCCATTTGCTGTTTCCGAAGGCGCCGACACTGCTCAGGATGGCGGCCAGGGTGGTGTCGTGGCAGCCACTCATGGCGAACTTGATGGCTTGGCTTTGGCGGTGGTTGGTGGCGGCCTCGCTGCGCCAGCCCCCGGGGGCGACGGCCGTGCTGACCATACGGTCGACGACGTCCCCCATCAGCGCGCCGATGCCCAGCTTGCGGTACTCCACGCTGTCGGTGTAGCCAGAGTACCACTCGTCCACGGCGATGCGGTCCATGTACTCGCGGGCTTTGGTGTCGTAGAACTCTTTGGGGAGGCGGGTGGCGGGCCCGTGGGCGTCAGTGGCATTGACGGTGTCCATGATACCGGAAAGGCGCGGGTGGGAGTCCACAGCAACGCGGGGGGAGGTTTCCGGCATCCATTTGGACCAGAGCTTGTTCAGGTACTCCATCTCGTCGGTCTCGTTCCCTGTTGGTGGTTAGGGAGAGTGATCAACGGGCAACGGAACAGTGTAGGGAACAAGGGTGTTACGTACATCGCAGTGCGGCCCTATCCGCGAATAGACGGGAGAGTTGTCTAAAGCGACGGCAGTTGCCTTCGTTGGGGAATAGTGTCTCTTCCGATACGGATCGTCCTACGATCACAGGGGGTGGGAAGTCCTGGGTGCGGGCATTGGGGGGATACAGGCCCCAGAAGGCTTGTTGAAGGGACTCGAGTGCACGTGGAATGGGCGTTGCCCGCAGATACATGTCCTCAGTGTCGGATTTGATCTTGGGCAAGAAGCCGAGCTGATCGACGTAGAGGTGGCGGAGGCGCTGGCCCAGTGCATAGGTCGTTTCGCGTCCTTTGTCGGTCAATTCGCCGTGTAGACTGTTCCAGACGGTCAGCAGGGCTTTCTCGACCCTAATTGCGATCCCACTTGCCAGATCCCGTCCACTTCACCCGATGCGCCGACTGCAGCGACGGTTTCATCCTTGCTGCCGAACGACTCGTGTTTCCGACGCCATTGGAATCCGTTCCAGGTTGTGAGGTCCTTGTTGCTCGCGGCCATCTGGAGCATCTGGCGCGCGACAGTGCAGTATGACCAGTCTATGTGAAGGTGGACAGAGATTATCAATTGGATTGTTCCTAGAAGAGGTACTGTTTTTCAGGAGGTCGACGTACACGGGGCGAGCCCTGCATTTTGGAATCTCGAAGACACTGGTGTTCGTTCACCTGTACGTTGATTAGTGAATGGTCTGACCACGGACATATTGAATGTTGAGCTCTTACCATGACGAAGGAACTGTCGCTCGTTGTTAGTCTCCCGACGCTCTCTGAGGCATTGTTTGGGTGCCAGCACTCACTACTTGGACCAGTTGAAGCTTCAAATCGCTAGGGTAGAGGCGCTCCAACTCTTCCTGGGAGTAAGGCTCGCGAGGTTTGAGGGTAGTCATGACGAGTTACTAGACAGCACTGAAGTGCCCGACTCAGCTCGCAAACTCAATGGAATGACAATCTGCAGTGCGAGGGAGAATAAAGGGAATGAGAGCAGCTGCAGATGGATGGTTCCAGCCTCGGCGAATTGGCCGAGGCGGTGATGACGCACGAAGGCGGCCGGATCCGCCCCGGTCAATGTTGTGCTGTAACAAACATCACAAACATCCAACGGTTAAGGCGGCAACAAAGGCGGTATGAGATACGGAAGGCGGAAGCAATGGGCAGGAACCCAAGAATAATGCAAGCAGATCCCCTGCCGGGCTTATCGATGCAACCCACCGCCGGTGTGTCTCTCTCTCTTTGCCATTGCTTGCTCCTGCTCTGCCTTATCCGATCTGCTTCACCTCGCTGATATCCTCGCTGCCGGTCTGAGCATCCAGAACATTTGCTTAAGTAAATTCACCGAGAATACGGGGTGGTATCCTTGCTAAGACTCCTCTAAAATTACACACGCGACACTCATTGCTTCCCAAGCACTGCCCGCTTATACTATCCGCTGCCGGATGGTGGATTCAACTGACCTCTCCGCTCTGTGACCTCCTCTTGCCTCTATTCTACTGAACCATTGCGCCAATCATGGACAATACCAACTGCTGAATCCTCGCTTTTCCTTTGTCTATATCACTTTCGACGTGCTTAGTCCACACTTTATAGTCCCCGTCGTCACCTGACCAGCTGCAAGTCCGAATTCGGGTTTATTGGCCGTACACGCGCACTTTGACTCGGTAGATGCATGGATTGCCCCAATCTCATCTTCTCCTCTGTGACAGACATAAAAGCTTACTCGGCTGATTTATCTACCACATCTCCGCCTCGACTGTCGATTCAATTGTGGTGGGTGTATATCGACACTCCTTTCCTCGTTTGTGTAATATTTGACCTGGAAGGTGGTCTAACTATCTATACAGTAATCCATTTCATTAATCAGCCATTGAAACCGGCTACTGCAGTATGGAGGTACGAGTTTTCTTTTAAAGCTATTTCTCTACCCTACCTCGAAGTGTCATCTCTGGCTGGACATCGTGCTCCACGATTGGTCCATGTTCTCCTGTGGTATTTCAAAGTACTGCGCATGCGTTGATCAGCACATAGCTAGGTAGTCATGAAGAGAATCTTGACTGCTCGGAGTGCTGTCTTGCTGTGTGGCTGTCGGATGGAAGCACGTGACCTTCGCAATTTCAGATGATATTTGATTTGACCGTGGTGCGGTGGCTTGGTTGTATGGTTTAAAGCCATTGCTATCTCCTTTGCATCCTTGCCTTGTGGTTCTTATGGTTTCATCCTGGCTCGGAAACGTCTTTGCATCATGATTGCATCTGAATCGTCTTCATTCATCAAGCTAATAGCATATGTTGCAGGGTACTAGCCAATTCTTGCCTGAACAGGTTCAGGCCAAGAATGGTCAGCTTTCGACAAGCAAACCGCAAGATGCTAAGCCTCGTCTCATGCTAATGGGTCTCCGTCGGTGGGTGCCAGTTCTCTGTGGATTGTCCTAGCATGAACCCTAATCCTCTACAGGAGCGGCAAATCGTCCATTGCTAGCGTTGTGTTCCACAAGATGCCCCCAAATGAAACGCTCTTCCTTGAGTCGACCACTCGGATACAAAAAGATTCGATCCAGTAAGCGATTGATTGGGCGCATAGTCTGACTCCGCTGACACGCTCATAAGCTCTTTCATGGATTTCCAGGTCTGGGACTTTCCCGGTCAGCTCGAGTATCTGGAGCCATCTTTCGACCTCGAAAATATTTTCGGAAGTCTTGGCGCACTGGTTTGGGTCATTGATGCTCAGGATGACTACCTGGACTCTGTTGCACGTCTCAACCGTACCATATTGACCGTGCAGCAATACTACCCCAACATCAATATCGAAGTATTCATCCACAAAGTGGATGGACTTTCCGACGAGTACCGCACAGACACCTTCCAAGACATTGTACAGCTGATCTCCGACGAGCTGAGCGATGCCGGATATGAAAATGCTCCGGTTCACTACTACCTAACCTCTATCTACGACTATTCAGTCTTTGAGGCTTTCAGTAAAGTCATCCAAAAGCTCATTCCCAATCTCTCGACTCTGGAGAACTTGATCAACACGCTCGCCAATAACTGTGGCTTCGAAAAGACTTATCTATTCGATGTCTTGAGTAAGATCTACATTGCATCCGACACTCGTCCCGTTGATATGTCATGCTACGAGATGTGCTCGGATTACATCGATGTGATTGTGGATATTTCTGAACTGTATTCCTGGGACCATCCAGATCGCAAACCCAAGGGTGAACAAAATCAAGAAGCTGAGAGTCATGTGGTACTGCATGATGAAACAATGATACACCTGATGGAGATGAACAAGTATGCTATCCGAATCCACAAAAAGAAATAAGGCGACGGTGACTAACATCTGCTAGATACTTGTGCCTGGTTTCAGTGATTCGCAATCCAGAGTCCAAGAGCAAAAAAGGTCTTATTGACATGAACTGCCGGACCTTCCAAGAAGCCCTCAACGATGTGTTCTCTCGCAGCTGGGAGCAGGAGCAGGAGCAGGAGCAAGTATAACTTGATTGTTTGGAATGGGGCTGTGTTTGATGCTGGATTATGGTCATGGCCGATTTGTATGTATCTATGTTATATCGTCTACACCTTGCTCGTGCCTGAGACTCCTGCTGGATTGTTCATGAATACCTGGATGGATGCCAGGTCAACACACGGCTTGTATAGAGCTGTTTGGAGAAGGGAACCCCCAGTAGTGATCACTTGGGGCATTCTAAAGCAGGACTGGTAGCCCAGTGGGGAAACAAATATATATCAAAGATATCCTTCCGAGGAGTCCGGAAGATGAAGGCGATTGAGAATAGAACCACTGTTGCCTATAGCCAGCCTAATATATGTTTCCGAATACGAACATGTACTGTACGTACGTGGCACCTGGCAGGTATTCCCCTTTGCGGACATACAACAACTGATCATGTCCTTCCAGTAAAATCTGGTCCTTTTCATATGCATTGTTAATGGGCATAAAAGTAGTGGACGAAGTGGTACTGGCAATTTCCCCAGTCACACCATTGGCGGGGTGGAAACAAACCAAAACCGCGAGTGCGGAAAACAACCCGCCAAACTGGAAACCACCTGTCATAAAATCATAAGATAAAAGTTGCTCTTCCACTTCGACATCCTACTATCGCCACCCCCGATTTCCTAGTGTATATTCTACTCACTCTCCAGGGACAGAGTTTCAATGGCATCAATTCAATAAATCAAACAAACCACCACCAACAAAACCCAGAGAAGAAAACCTCCGGCGAAGACCGACCGCAACCATGTCCGAAGTCCGCCAACGCCAGAAACCCACCAACAACAACAAGGGCACCAGCAAAGCCGGGAGCACCAACAGCAGCAACAAGAAAGCCAGCAGCAGCAGCAGCAAAAATGCCCGCGGCCTCAGCATCCTCGACATCATCCGCGTGCTGGCCACGCTGGTGATCGCCTCGTGCGGTCTCTCCTACTACATGACCTCGTCGGAGTCGCTCCTCTGGGGCTACCGCCCATGGTTTACCCGACTGCCCGTGCTCATGCGGTTCCTGGTGCGTATCCTCCCTTCCCCCCCCTTCCATCCCCCTTCTACACAAAAGCAAACTTACTGACGGCAGAAACAGCAAGGTCCCCTAACCCTAACCCCGGCGCAACTGGCCCTCTACAACGGCACCGACCCGAGCCTGCCGCTGTACCTCAGCGTGAACGGCACGGTCTTCGACGTCAGCGCGAACCCGCTCGTCTACGGGCCCGGCGGCCACTACAACTTCTTCGTGGGCCGGGACGCCACCCGCGCCTTCGTGACGGGCTGCTTCCAGGAGGACCTGACCTCGGACCTGACGGGCGTCGAGGAGATGTTCATGCCCCTCGACGACCCCGCCGAGCTGGCCGCCCTGCCCTCCGGCGAGCGGAAGAAGCGCCACGAGCAGGACGTCCGCTACGCTCGCGGCCGCATCGAGCGCGCCGTCGCCCACTGGCAGGGGTTCTTCCGGAACCATCAACGGTATTTTGAGGTGGGGAGGGTGGTGGGGTTGGAGGAGGAGGTTGCGGCATCGAAGAAGGATGAAGGTGGGGAGGGTGCTGGTGCTACGAGGGAATTGTGTAAGGCGGCGAGGCAGCAGAGGCCGACGCGGAAGCAGGTGCTGGAGGCGCAGGCTGCGGGGAAGAGGTGATTTGGGGTTTGTATGCTGAGGGTGTGAGGCGGTATTGTCGGTTCCATAGGTTGTATATGAATATGTTGGAGCATATTGGTCGTCAGGGACAGCCGTGTGGTGCAGTTGATAGAGTAATGCCGTATCCTCCTACGCATATTCATCCCATACCTCAAGGTACAGTACCACCCTACGACCGGAAGACAAATATTTGGAACAGATCATTTTTTTGGTTGTTTTTGATTTCGAAATTGATTGCAAGCAGCCAATATTACTTGACGACTATACTAATCACTTTCCCCGTCGAAGAGCCAATCAGGATTTCATTTTTCCGTCCACACACAAGATTTTCATTTCTTCAAATCCGCTTTGAGAGTTGATATCATTTCGTAGTACACACACACACTTTGAAAAGTAAAAACAGGACGCGCGAGGAATTCATTTCATAGCGTCAAGACATTTACTCGGCGGTGACGGCGCGGGCTGGAACAGAAAAAAAAGGTATCCGTCAGCATTTACCCTCACATAGAGAGCGTTCTCGCACCGAGAAAACCAAAAGGGAGGATAGGAACATACTGTAGACGGTCATCTTGGAGTGGCTGACAACCTTCTTGATCTGGCCCTTCTCCTCGAGGTCAGCAAGGCACTGGCGGGCCAAGCTGCCGTTGATCTTGAGACGGTCGACCAGGGTGGCAACAGTGATCAGACGGTAGGACTGGACATCCTTGTTGAGGCGCTCGGCGACCTGCTTCTCAAGGACGACAGCGTGCTGGGCCTTGTCCTTAACTATATACCGAGAGAAAAACAGTCAGTTTTCGGATGTTCGATTCAAAAACGTCTTCGCGTTGTGGGTAGTGTGGATTTCCGCATCGTTCCATCGTCGTTCGTCGCCCTTGCTGTCGAAAAAAACCCTTGCTGTTCTTTTCCTTTTTATCTCGGATACAGGCGACCGGCGACCATTCTTTTCCTTCGGATCGGGGACAGGAGAGATGTGCTTGAGGAACGGGGGAGAGATGATAGCGTACCCTTGCCCTTGGACCACTTCTTTCTGGTAGGAGCCTGGTTGCACACAGTATTAGTATTCCATCTTTTATTGATAGTATTGCATAAGTTCCTGCGACTCGATATACCAAGTCGCAGACAACCCACATAAACTCACCATTTTGACGATCTGATGTAGCTGTTCGACGGAGGAGAGCTGCACAACAGAGCGAACGGCCGGAAACTTGAGTGCCCAAGTGCGAAATTCGAGTGGGGGATGACTCAGCGTCACGTGGACTCTAACCCTAAACCCTGGACGGGCGGCCGCCGCCCTCGGTTAGCTGCGATGTCCAGGGGTTCCGCTGTTATTGGCTGCCGGCAGGCTGGCTCTGGCCTCATCTACTATGTAGATTATGCTTGGCAGTTACGATAGTGTAGATAACGATAAACTACTTCTAACATTAGGTATGGCAGGGGGGTTTCTTGTATCGGATGTCTGGTCTCATCGATCGCTTCTACTGTTAGCCGAAGTTGGAAACACAAAGTCATACTACTAGTCCCAGAGACCAATTAGAGGTTCCGTATGATAACGATTAGATACTAACTATACAATGCTTATACTAGAACACGTTAAGTTGACTACTTTCCAAAAGTCGCTCAGTCGCTCAGAAAACCGAACACAGTTTCGTAAAGCATAGATCATCACGCCATAAGTCCGAATGTCCATCTGTCCGAATCAACGGCTCGCCGATGGACCGGAGCTGCTCGAAGCCAGCTTGCCGCGGATTGTATTCAGGACATGGAACTGTGGCTCTTCGTCAACCCCTTCAATGTAGCCAAACACATAGTCCTCCGGTGTACCGAACCAAAATCTCGAGTCCTCATCTTCATCAGTTGACATCCATCTCGCATCGTACTTGCCGGTCTCAGTTCGAGGAATAGGAATGCGAACTGTGAGAGGTTGACTATAGGGTGACCAGTAGCGTACGGCAGAAGATCCGGGATTCGCAGTGGTGATGAGTAGTTGTGCCTTGGTAGGATGCCATACCACTTGCCTGACGGCGTGTTCGTGGACCAGAGCAGACAGAAGGACCGGCGTGGACTCCAGGTCCCAGATCCAGACAATGTTTGGCCGTGTTTGGTCGACGGTGCTGAGAAGCGCGCCACTAGCACTAAACGCCATAATCATTACACCACGGGGCGGACCAGAGACTTCCGCGTTGGCACCAAACGCCGAAGAGCTCGATGCCTCAGCATACTCTAGCGTTCCGTCTTCAGTCGGTCGCTCTCGCCAGATACTGGGCGAGTTCTGTTCGATCTGGAACACGTGTGAAAGTGTCGTAGAGCAGGAGAACTGGTATGGTCAGCATGTAAATCCAGGTAGTTCACCATAAGGTAAGCCTTACAGTTGTACTCTTCAATAAATCCACAGATCCATCCACTTTCCCAACAGCCAGAACCTCAGAGACCCCGCGCGCACTCGAAACCGGACTCCACTCGATGCTTCGAACACCCAAATCAAAAGACGTATCCAATCCCGGTAGTCCCGTATACGTTCGGAAAAGCTGTCCGTCGGCCGTGAAGATGAGTACTCTCGTGCCCGCACTCGCAGCATCCCACACGGCGATCCACCTCCCATCCGGACTCCACTTCAGACCCTGAGCATCCACCGTCGGCAAAATCGCCCGGCCGATCAGCTCGTACGTTCCGAACTCGTGGATCGTCAGGAGGTCAGCAGCATCTGGCTTGAGGAGAACCGCCAGCTGCCTCGTTTTCGGTCGGTACCCGAAACCATTGGTGGTCGAGAACTTGGGCGCTCTGATGATCTGACTGCGGCCGGTGTCCAGCCCGAAAATGGTGATCTTGGTGTTCCACGCGTGGAAGTAGATGATCTCGTTCTCATCGCCGCCGAAGTCGATGTAGGTGGCTCCGGGCTCGATGCTCTCGATCTGAGCGTGCAGCTGCAACGAATTCAACCGCCAGACGGAGACACGGGTGTCACTGGCACACAGCAGGCGTCTCTCCGGGAGACTCACCCCTCCGTAGGAATGTGTGCTTGATGGCAAGACAGGCTTGGAGCGGGAGAATTTGAGGGATTTCGAAGCAGTCTCTTTAAGCCTCACAACTTGCACTTCCTTGAAATCTGAAGAAGTGGGGTTGAGATGGACCACCAATTCTTTGCTATTCAGCTGTGCAACATAGTCACCATCCTCAGAAAAGGCGATGGAAGGGGATACTAAGCCAATTAGTATAAAGTGGTTCAAGGTTGCCGGGGTCTATGCCGCAACTTACCACCCGCCCCTGCGGCGTCCATTGTTGAGAATCGGTAATTCAGTAGAGTCTGAAAGCTTTGAAGCAGTGTGCAGAGATCTGGGGACTTGAATTGACTCCCTAGACCCTGAGCATACTACCATCTGCCTACCTCAGCTTTTCGCGCTCGATACTGCCGAAGTTTCTTTGATAAACATCTCGAAGGTTTCTCCCCAAACATAAACCCACTCGCGAAAAAGCGCTAAAGCCTCATTATTGGATTATGTAAGCTCCAGCATAGTTGCCTTGCTTTAGGCACGACTGGCACATTCACAGAAGAGCAAGAAGTGTAACAGATATCAGTTGCTATGCAGGCTCCTGACCACCTTGCTCAACATTGTCCAAGAAGTAAGGATGCCTATTGTGACGATGTAATCATGCAGGTCGCCTAAAAAGTGATACGTCAATTGGGTTCATGTCGCTGGATAAGATAAGAGGAACAACCTTGTTCCGTGCCGAGATAAATTATCGAGTATCGGTGGAAAAAAGATGCCCGCCATCCGCTCTTGTACCCCAGGCCTCGCTATCTCGTCTCGATTGTATGCGTCTAACGTACGACTGAAGTGTGATCGATCATATACGTTCAAGCTTGTCGCTGTTTAAACCTCAAAATAAAGCTCTTACGACTTCTTCCCCCTTGGCTGGGGCGAAACTTCTCTACGACACTCCGTCCCACCCCGCAGACAATGGCAACTCCCGAGACGGCGCCCGCGCCGCAGAACAGCGTCGCCGACCAAAATGCGCCAGCCACCCTCACAACCGAACCGAAGACGAAGCTTCTCGGAAGGGACTTTTACAAGAGCATTGGGAGTCCGAAGTACATCATTGCACCCATGGTAGACCGGTCTGAATTCGTAAGCCCCGCCCAACCCCAGCTTCGCCGCATCTCGACGGCCTCGTTCGCCCACAGTCGAAAGCTAACATGGTTGGTGCAAGGCATGGCGCATGCTCACCAGGTCATTCTTGCCCGCGGAGGAGCAGAAGCAGATTCTCGCCTACTCCCCCATGTACCACGCCCGCCTCTTCCGCGAACAGCCCAACGTGCGCGCGCAGCACTTTCACCCGACCCGCGCCGCCGCCGGCAAGGAGGGCGACCAGTCCCTCTTCCTCGACGGCAACCCGGCCATCGACCGGCCGCTCTTCGTGCAGTTCTGCGCCAACGACCCGGATGACTTCCTCGAGGCAGCCCGCCATGTGGCGCCGTACTGCGACGCGGTGGATCTGAACCTCGGATGTCCCCAGGGGATCGCGAAGCGGGGCCACTACGGGGCGTTTCTCCAGGAGGACTGGGATCTGATCTACAAGCTGATCAACCGCCTGCACACCGAGCTCCCCATCCCGGTCACCGCCAAGTTCCGCATCCAGGAGACCAAGGAGAAGACGCTGGAGTATGCGAAGATGATCCTGTCCGCCGGCGCGAGCATCATCGCCGTGCACGGACGCCGCAGGGAGCAGAAGGGCCACAACACCGGCGTGGCGGACTGGAGCTACATCCGCTACCTGCGTGACAACCTGCCCCCGGAGACGGTCATCTTCGCCAACGGCAACAATCTGAACTACGACGACCTCGACCGCTGTCTGGAAGCCACCGGGGCCGATGCCGTGATGAGCGCGGAGGGTAATCTGTCCGATCCGTCGATCTTCAGCAAGCCGCCTCCCGTCGGCAGCGAAGGCAGGGATTACTGGCGCGGCCGCGATGGGAAGGGCGGATATCGCATCGACGCCATGCTGCGTCGGTATCTGGATGTGCTCTACAAGTACGTCCTGGAGCAACCGGTCCCGGAGCGGAAGCCGCTGTATCTACCGTCCGACCCCGTGGAGGAAGAACCCGCGCAGGATTTGGAGGCCGAGGATGAGGACGGCCCACCCAAGAAGAAGCAGAAGCGCGAGAAGGGCAAGCGGGCGGCCTCCCCCAGTCTGGGGGTGATGCAGGGCCACCTCTTCCAGCTTCTCCGTCCCATGGTCTCCGTGCACACCGATGTCCGCGACGCTCTGGCCCGATCACGCCCCGGCGACATGGCCGCGTTCGAGCACGTCCTGACGCTCGTCGAGAAAGCCGTCAAGAAGGGCCTCCAGGAATACGAGGAGTTCCCCGAGCGCTTCGAGCGGTCCCCCGACGAGAAGCTGACGGGGTCCAAGGCGACGATCGCGGAATACGGCCGGCCCTTCTGGGTCTGCCAACCGCACATCCGGCCACTGCCGGAGGAGGCCGTCGAGCTTGGGGCTCTTACCGCCAAGGGGTCTGTGACCACCAAGAAGAAGCAGCCCAACGGCACGACGGACGGGGCAGTCGAGGCGCCAGCCACCCCCGTTACCGAGGGGTCTGCCACTCCATCGGGGGATTCGAAAACGGTGTCAGCCATGGCTACGCCCGATCCTCTGGTGAGCGGTTGAGAAATGATTTGACGTGATTTGGTTGTTGTTTTCTGGAGTATTGGCGGGGAAGTCATAGCATTTATACCCACCTCGGGCATAGCTTATCGTGTTTCTATTATTTTTGTTTAGATCGTCTAGAGGTTAATAGTTGATAGACCAGAGTATATAAAGAGTTCTTCGCTAGTTTCTCTACAGGAACAGAAGGATATCAATCATAATCAGGTATCTCGCATCACAAGCCCGTCGGACCCCACGCCCAACCCGTAAACTCCATCCCTACCCAAAATAAAACCCCCACTAAAAATCCATAACAAGCTGCGGCGCCAACTTCTCGAGATCCTCAACCTACACAAACCCATTAGCATACACCCTTACCCAAACCCCGGAATTCAGCCACGTAGAGCTGACGAAGAATAGCGGGAACAAACCAACCTCCAAAAACCCATCCCCAACACTAGCCCCCTCGCCGACGGCCTCGCGGCGCTCGAACGCGGCCCGCGCCAGCGCCTCCCGCACAAACACATCCACGTACTTGGCGACGACCGTGTTGGCGTCCTTGGCCATCTTGGTCTTCGGGTGCTGGAAGTGGTGGTGCAGCAGCCGCGTCAGCAGCTTGGCGGGGATGACGGGCTCGCGCGTGACGATGTCGTCGGCGGGGTCGGTGGTGTGCGTGATCTCCGCGAGGATGTAGTCGGGTTCCGGGGAGGGGGAGGCCGGGGTATTGGTGTTGTTGTTGTTGTTGTTGTTGGAGGCGTTGGAGGTCTGGGAGGCGGACGCGGAAGGCGTCGGGGAGGTTGAGTTCGAGCGGGTGGGGGGTGTTCTTCGCCGTTTGTTTCGCGGGTTGGAGGGGTTCGCTTCTGCGTCGGAGGCGGAGGGTTCTTCTGTGTCGGAGGGGGGAGGTGGGGGAAGGGTGGTATTTTTGGTGGGCTTGGAGGTGGTGGGTTGGCGGGTTTTGGAGGAGGATGAGGAGGCTGCGGTGGTGCTCTTGCGTGTTGGGTTGGGTTTGGTGGAATTTGAGGACGCTGTGGTGGTGGCTTTGGATCTGGGCTTGGATGATGCTGCTGCTGTTGCTGTTGGTGCGGATGAGGAGGCCCGGCTTGGAGGTTTGAACGGCAGTCTGCGCCGTTTCTGGGTAGGCTGTCTCTCAGGTGGCATTGTTTTGACAATGTAGAAGTTGCGCCAGCCGACCGTTGTTTGCTCGTCAGCTTATTTTTGAAAGTGGTTTTTCTGGTAGTGGTGGTTGAGATGCGGAGATGTTGTCGCGAAACACGTGCGTCGCGGAACTAAACGCGAGGTCATGTGATGATATCTTGATCACTTCTGATCGCAATGGTAAGCTTTACTAGCTGTTGAGTTTTTTTTTTTTTTTTTTTTTTTTGTTTTTACATTTACATCTAAGAAAAAGTCATATTCCTTCAAGCTGCATTGAAGTCTCGGAATTTTGTTTGTGATTTGCATTTCGCAGCTGTATTGTTCTTACCAAGATTCTGCTGTCCATATACATATTTCCCTTTCTGATCGTTTACTACGATGCATCTTCATTCGCATAGACATTTGCTTCACAGAATGACTCTACCACTCCACAGCATGCTTTCAGCGTGAATGGCAAGATGCACTACTCATCAGGTGTCTGATCTGGGCTCACGAATAAACCTATGAGGCCCCCAACAAGGCAACCATTCCAGAATTAGGTCATTGCATGTTGACATAGTTCGAGAGAGTAAACAACTTCGAAGAGATAACCCTCGAGAACACCAGCCAGTTCATCAGCGGTAAAAAATCGAATGCAGAGCCTGATTCTTCTCGCCACAAAGCATGGTCCCGAGCCTCCTCAAAATCCTCTGATTCCACCCACCCCATGCAACCATCAGGAAGAGACACAGCTAAGATCCAGTGCCATATCTACTGTCAATAACCGCAGTGAGAACCCATGATAGACACCCCATCACGCCCTTGGTGGACTGACAACAGTAACTTCCAGCCCGGATCTCACCAGAATATCCCTCGAATGCGCCCAGTCCACGCCGAACAAGCCCGAGTTGAACCGACACGACCAGAGCCTACCCAAGTCGATCCCCTCGGCACGGAGTTCCTCGAGCTGTTTCTTCAGATCCGCGACCGCAAGCTCGGTGTTGCCTAGCAGAATGTCGACGGGCGAGGTGGCGGTCCCGTAGCTAAAGGAGGTGAAGAGACAGATGATCCAGTGCTGATGTCCGCCGCTGGGCTCGTAGTCGCCATGCTGCGGTGGGATGACGAGGGCGGTGCCTTCGGGCAAGCGGACTCTGCGCGGACCAGTCTCGCCTGTGACGACCACTTCGGTGTTGAGCGCATTGTAGTCTTGACAGTGGGTACGGTAGGCGAAGTAGGCATTGGGGTACTGGAGGTGATGGAGTCATGTCAGTGAGTTGGCCAGGATGAGTTGGAAGGCTTGGGAGCATACCTTGTCTCGGAACTGTTTAGCAATTCCCTTACCCCAGGCACCTTGACAGTTGCATGACTCTAGGTTCATCAGGATCAGATACTCTACTCTCAGGGGCACGACTTACGGATCAGTGCTGCTCCATCGGGGGCATCAAATAGATTGCCTTCTATTTCCAGGATACGTCCTTGGCCATATTCCGGCTCCATGTCGCGTAGTTGGATCGTTGGAATGTACAGATGAGAGCGATCATGAACTAAGATTGGAAGGACAAGGTTGGTAGTGAAAGGAAAGTCATTGAGAGTTAAGGTAGAATGTGCTAAAGGAGAGGAAGAAACAGTTTTGATATTGGACCCCACCCAGTACAGCAGAACTACAAACAGAAAGGAAAGACAGCCAAACCAAGACAGAACCACCAGAAAACCACAGCACCAATCTGAACATCAAAACAGACCAAGAGCCAGCCCAACGACTGCCTTCACCGCTGGTCATTACCATTATCCACTGGTTCAGGTTGATCTGCATCCTCACGGACTGCAGAAGAAAGAGAGCTTCTCGCCTTAGTGGTTGACCTGGACCTGGACTTGAACTTGAACTTCTTCCCCTCCTTAGAGGCCTCGCTCTCGTGAGACTGATTCTCGGTCATCGATGCTGGCGACTTCTTATCACTGAAATTCCACGAGGATGTTGTGGCCACAGAGATCGGTGCACTCTGGGTGCTACCGGATTTCAACTTTCGGCTCACAGTTCGAGAGATAGTTCTAAAAATCCCCGTGCCACGCTCCAGATTTGCCAACTGACCCATCACAGTCATTCCGTTGGTTGCAAGGTTCTCTTCCGGCATCGGGATGTATAAGATGATTCCGCGGTTCGGTGCGATGCTTAGGATCTTCTGGAGCTCAATCTGAATCAAGATGGTACTGCGGAGATTCATTATAGGCGCTATGAGAACCGGCAATGCAAACACCTTCATCAGGTACGCCGGTGTGTTTGAGTTCCCGAAGTAAACACAAGCATCTTGCTGAATCGTGGTCATGATGAAGACCTCGGGCTTTTCAAGGATCTGTGCCATCTTTGATGAGATCGTCGACGCCAGTGTGTCATCGTCCTTGACCTGAGGTTGATATCAATGTCTAGTTCAGATTCGACCTATCACATACTCTGACGAAGCAACAAGAACTAATTAATGCTTACCCTGGTATTGATCTTGACCTCAACGACAGTCACAGATTCGTGAGTAATCTGAGTCCTCGGGGAGGTCACCAGACCCCTGATGTTGAACATCTCCTCGAAGTATTGACTTTTGGGACGCAGCACAGACTCTCCTTCGATACTTTTGCGTTCGAGATGAGTCGGCTTCACATCGGCAGGCGCACCGGGCTTGATGGGATACATCGGATGTTCATCGTCGTCCTTCTCCTCGAGGAACATGGACGGCCTCACAGGCGCCCTATCCAGCTTATTCTTCTGCTTCAAGGTCGCTTCGGAGATGGTTCTCGCACCGAGTGCTTGGAAGGCCATGGGCGACTGGAGCACAGGAATCGTGGGGGAGATACTCGAGGAGGACGTAGAGGGACCGCTGTGTCTCTTGCGGAAGGAAAACTCGAATCGACGACGTCTTGGAGTCATTGTGCTGCAGGATAAGATTATCAGCCCAAGTGAACCGACAAACCGTCCTCGAGTCTGACTATTGATGGATGACCTGGCACGAGTACGCACGAGTAGACAGGATGTTGAATTATGCTGAAGGATGCCAATGCAGATACTCTACGAAAAACCCGGGCTACCCGTCCTAGTATGGAAGGAGCTATTAAGCGCACGCGAAGAGGGAAGGTGGCTTCCTATGGGCATCGACTTTGGGATATTTCCGTGCAATTTGACAAACCAGCTCCCAACCATCAGAAGCATGTCCTCTTGAAAATGATTCCATTCAACTAAGAAAGCCCAGATAGTCAAAGGCCGAGTTGCCACTACAGAAGACCTTATCAATCCTCCTCCTTCGATCCCATACAATTTCTCCATCCGACCGACGCTTGATATGGAGGATCCGATGTTGGGGGATGAACTCGTCGTGCGTCGTCTCTCGCTTCCACGTATTGAAGCTGGCTTCTAGGCGTCCCTCAAACCGGTCCTCATACACAATCACGAAATCATCGCTGTCGTAATCCGGATCCCAAATGATGCGGTTGATGACATCTTCAAATTGAAGCATCAGTATTACTCTGCCTATCGGATGATGGATTCGGTTCACATGAGACGTACCTGCAGCAGGGCGTAATCGATTCTCCACCGTCGCGGGTTTCTTGGGGATTTGGCGGGCGTGAATGGGCTTCTCTTGAAGGATGAGGGTTGCGACTCTCTCTGGAGAGCTCCGTCGAGATGAACTACTCCTTTCTTTCGACAGAGAAGGTAATGAAGGTGGAATGTCCATAGTAGGAAGGACTTGTGAGAATTGCTCGGGAGCTGGAAGAGCCATGATTAACGGCATATGTGTACAGCTTCTAAGGACGGAAGGGGTTTGTATTAGAGTATTGATTTTATTGGTACGGTTACGGCAGCGGAAGCTGGTTTTTAATGCTGAGTATGGATGTTGATGACGATGGGATCTGAATCCTGTCTAGGCAGCCTTCAGGCGGCATACAAATCTCACGTTAGCTGGTTAGCTGGAGGCGAACTGTCAGTCAGCAGTGAAGGACGGAGTTAGTGATACGCCATGATTTAGGGCCGCAAATTCAAGGGATCCTTGGTTTCACATGGAGCCAATGGCTGGCTCGGTTCTTCGTACTGGTGACTCAAACCGTTGGTGGCGGAGCAGCTGACGGCACGAGTAAATGCTACATGACTCACGGCACGGTACCACGAGCAGGAGAACAGGAAGGTCGATATTGGAGGGCCTGGCTGGAATGAGTGAACCTGATATCTAACTGTATCGATGGAGATTGAAGATGTTGGCCTCCGATAGGGAGATAGAGCCCCTGGCTGCCCGATGCGATTAGCCCTTGACGCGCTTGAGAAAAAGGTCACTTAGTACTATTCAACCTGAAATCAGAATTTGTGGATGGCAAGGATAGTCTCAGTATCAGGTCCAAGACCATCTCTCATCCAATCTCACAGCAGTGAGGCCCTGGAATAGGCCTTTCCGTGTAGACAAGAGGTAGAGTAGAGTAGAGTAGTTGAGCCCGCTGTTCCTCCACCCGCACCGCAACTCCGCATCTCGCGCGCGCCGCGCCTGACGCGTCCACCCGCAAGAAAGCAAGACACAACCGATCATCAACATCTCTCTTTCCTCCACCCTCGCAGCAGATAGTGCGCCTACCTGCCAACCATGACAGACGCCACCACCTCCTTGCTCACCGAGCATTTCAGCTACACCCCTCTAGTAAGCAGGATCCCTTCATCCCCACTCAAAAAAAACCCCATTTGCAGCATATCGTATTGCGATACGCACGCGCGCGCACCACCACCAAAACCGCCATCCCAACCGCATCAAACCCATCGCTGACCTAACACCCCTCCACCAATCCAGTCCCTCATCGACGACATAATCAACTCGATCAACAATCTCATCTACCAAGCCATCTCCAGCCTCGAAACCGGTCTCCTCAACACCCCGCCCGAACGCCTCGGGTTCGCGCACGCCGCCAACGAGTCCACGATCCCGGACACCGACGAGGATGGCAACGTGATCTACCCGGAAGCGCAGCTGGAGATCGAGAATGGCCTGCACCAGCTGGAGACGCTCCTGGAGGCGACCGTTGACAGGACGTTCGATAAGTTCGAGCTGTTTGTCCTGCGGAACACTTTCAAGGTCCCCGAGGACCTTATGGGTTGGATCCGGTTGAAGCATTATGAGGTAAGCGTTTTACTCTCCACTCGTCTGGAGTATCGCTTCACTGACATTGCTAATGTCTGAAATGAAATAAAAATAGAATATCGACCTGCATCCGCCGGAGGATGCGCCCACGCCGGACACGATCGCCGCGCAGCGAAAGAAGCTCCTCGAGACCAAGAAGTTGAATCGGGCTTTGAAGCAGGAGAGCGCCCAGAACGAGGCGATCATTGCGCAGTTACGGCAGATTCTGTCGGCGAATGGACCGAAACCGGATACTACGAAAGCGGGTGACGAGGCGGCACCGTCAACAACAACGGCAAACACGACGAAAGACCTGGACCTGTCGTTCCTGACCTCGAGTGCTGCGGCGCGCCAGTTGCGCGTCGGGGCTGTGGCCGGGTCCAATACGCAGCACACGCCCATCACCACGAATACTACGTTTATCCTGTCGCAACTGCCTGCGTTACAGGCGCTGATTAAAGAGCTCCGGCCCAAGCTGGCTACGCTGCAGCAGTCAGAGGATAAGATGGAGGTAGACTCCAAGGCCGATGCGCGACGCGAATACATTGAGAGCAGAGTCAGGTTGCACCTGGAGCGCTCCGGGCAGCTGGCTGCGGGGAATGAAGTCAACCCAGTGCTTACGGGCCGCAGAATCGACGTTGCAGAAGCGCAGGCGCTGGAGTCGGTCATGGGGCTACTTGCGGAGGGTCAAAACAAATCCGCCTAGTGGAGATGAAAAACGAACAAAGCAGCAAGTCTTCCCAGTAATGCACGGTTTATTCGGGGGGAAGTCACTTAAAACTTGCGCAATTGATGGCGAGGCAGAAGAACTATGACGACCAGGTGACGCTCCACGTCTGCTGATCCCTCCGGAAAGGCACAACATCCACCTTGTCCGACTGCAGGATGTTCGGAATCTTCTCATCCTTCTTCTCGATGACAATGAACTCCTTCTGCTCCTCGCCGATACCATAAAACTGGCGGCCATACTTGCTCATGAAGCCTTCGAGGATCTCGGGCGTGATGTCCTCCTCCTTGAGGACGCCGTTCTGGCAGGCCTGCTCGAACGCGTCGATCACGAGCTGGGTGGTGAAGGGCTGGGTGAAGACACCGGCCGCGATCTTGTCGCCGCCTCTCTTGGACACGGCGGGGTGGGGGGCACTGTCGGAGCCGAAGAAGAACTTGGGGTTGCCGGAGGCAGCCGCTCTCAGCAGCGCGTCCCGGTCCGCGGGGGTCTTGGCGACGGGCTTGCAGAAGCAGAACGGATCTCCAGCCCAGTGGTCGATGATGATAGACAAGTGGTGGGCCGTAACTATTTTTCGTCACCAAGGCAGTCAGCCCGACATTCTCTCTTCCAGCATATAAAAGGGATGGGGGGTCTCAATCCTCACTTGTTCCCGCCACCGTCGGCCCACACTTCTTCACAGCCTCCACCGCGGCGGCAGTGGTGCAGTGCTCCAGGATGATGCGCAGCTTGGGGAAGCGCTCATGCAGCTGCAGCAGGGTCGGGAGGAACCGCTCCTCGGCGGTGAGGACGGTCACGTCCCCCTTGGAGGGCACCTCGCCGTGCAGGTTGAGCACCATATCCTGGCGCTCCATCTCCTCGAACACTGGGTAGAACTGCGTGTAGTCGATCACGCCGGAGGAGGAGTTGGTCGTCACGCCCGCCGGGTAGCTCTTGACGCCCGTGATGCCGCGCTGCTTGGCCTCGATGATCGTCTCGGGCGTCACCGTCTCGTGCAGGTACAGGCTCATGAGGTAGTTGACGTTGGGCTCGATCGCTTCCAGACTCTTCTTGTACTCGAGGGCCCGGTCCACGGTCGTGACGGGGGGGACTAGATTCGGCTGGAGGCAAACAGGATGAGCAAGAAGATTAGGTTCAATGATTAGGTCTCAGGTGATAAATCCTATTCTCGAAATACCATTCCATACACACCAGAAAATGAACAGGGTAGGGGATACAGGGGGGGGGGTGGAAAAAGATTTACCATAACAAAAACAGTATTCACACCTCCCTGTCGGATCGTAGGCGTCACGAGCTTCATCATATCGCCATCGCGCAGGTGGACTACATTCCCACTCGTCCTAACCCGTTAGCCTATGTACTATACTTTCTACTCCATACCCAATTGACCCTCTGTATACGCTGTGCATATACTGCATACACAGTCCAGCATGCGGGGTATCCAAAGTAGCAAAGAGTACTTTAGCAACGAAACGCACCGTGGAAATCCGCCGAGGCGGGGAGCTTCACGCCCTGCAGCTTGGAGAGGGGCATGGCGGCAAACTGATAGTATCGTTTGGAGACGCAGATGCCAGAAGAAGAAGAAGCCGATCCAATCAGTCGAGGATGGGCGATGCGCGGGCGAAGCATGAACAGATGGTCCGGGAACGAATCTTCAACAATTCATGCACCTGCAAAAGGGAGAGAAAAAAGAATCTCAGTTGATTTGCTGCTACGACAATCCCACCCTTATTTTTCCCCGCCAAAATTTATCCGATAGCGCGCCCGCGTGTGGGGTGAGTGACCGCCTGGGGTTTGATTGGTTGGGTGACAAGGGTGGTGGTTGGTGCAGGTGATGTCAGCGGGTGCTGCTCCGGTTTCGGGGTGAACATTGCCGTACTACCTACTAGGTACCTACCTACCTACGGTGGGTTGTTTTTTTGTGTTTGCCATACTGCAGTAGGTACATTGTACCGGGGAAAATGGTCCAATACTAGGGATAGTTGAGTCAGATTGGGTAGACACTTGAAAGGAGTACTGCATCTTATTTCTCAGAACGAATGAAGTATGCGTCAAGAATAACAACTAATGAGCACAGATCAACAGATTCGAAACGAGCGGATCAAGCTGGAACGATTGTTGTTTGACAAGAACAAAGAAGCAAAGTCCACAGCAACAGAAAACGAACAAAATCATTCTCAATTTCTTTCTCTTGCGAGATCAAGGGCGAAGTCAGAGGGTGAGCTTCAGAAGCCACCAGGCTGGCTGCTTCCACCCGGTCCACCAGAGCCGCTGGATTGGCCACCGCCGGGCGAGCTTCCTCCAGTTGAGGATGAGCTGTCATCAACCGCTTCGCCACCGCTGGAGGTGTAGATGAAGCTGTAGTTGGGGTCATAGGTGGCGGAGACGTTGACGGCGATGGTAATCCATCCGAAAAGCCCGTCGCTCAAGTCGTCGCCGATATAGACATAGTTCAACACCGGGTCCGAGGTGGAGTTCTCCGTCTCGTCAGAAAAGACGCGGTCCTCCGCGTTGGTGGTCAGGGTGACCGTGTTCTCGTTGTACGGGGACGTGGCCTCCACCGCGTTGATCAGGTCCTGATCCCAGAAGATCTGTCCGATATGGGCCACAGTGCCTCCGGTGATCGTGTTGTTCTCCTGGACGGTCACATCCAGGTGAGCCACCATGTGGTGGTGGGTGGTGCGGCCGGAGTAGTGACCCGGGAAGAGGGTGTTGAAGGTGACAACGCCGTCAGAGTCGGTCTTCTGGATACCACGCAGGAAGGTCGCGTTGAGGTTGGAGGTGTCGGCAGTGTTGCCGTTGCCAGTGGCGACCAGGCCGGAGTAGACGCCTGTGGCGTTGCAGTTCCAGATGTCCCAGTACAGGTCGGTGATGGGCTCACAGGTCTCGACGTCGACAAACTGGCCCTCGATGGTCACAGGCACACCAGGCTGGCTCTCGCGGAGGTCCGCGCGGACGTACTCGCCTGGAACGTAGTACGGGCCCGTCTCGCCCTCGGGGTTGAGGACGCAGCTGCTGCTACTGCCAAAGATCTCGCTCTCGGATGAGTCGGCAGTGATGCCATTGCCGGTCTCGTTGTGGTTGGTGGCGAGAACCGAGGAGGTATCCCGCGCAGCGAGACGCTTGCGGTGCGAGTCAACCAAGGCCCTACGACGAGCCTCTGCACGGGCGTTCAATCCGCTGCTTTCGAATCGAGCGGCGCACTTCTCGAGCCCGCGACGCATATTGGCTTTGAATTCCAGGAGCTCGGAAGCAGCGCGCTTCTCTTCGTGGCCAGGATGGGCGGTAGCGAGGACCGCACCTCCAACAATGGCCAAGTTGGCAATGTTCTTGACATGCATCTTGAGATATCGGAAAAAAAGCGAGGAGGTCAGAGACGAAAGGACTATGCCTAAAAGACGAGGAGGAGGAAGTTGTCACTGATGGAGTGAGAGCTGCTGCTTGTCATCTCATCTTCTGCACCGGCTTGCACACCTCTTATATAGGTTTTATCGCCATAGTGAGGTTCAAATGAAGAGCTTGCTGCAGTCCAGCTTCATCATCCCGTCTAGCTACATCGCAATCGCTATGCGGAACCAATTCCTTGATCAAAGCGACACTATACCTCAAGGCTGGCAAAGTCTCTAACAAAGACAGCCAGCGGGATGAAGGCGTATGCACCCCTGCTGCTTTTTCTGGTGTTGATTGGTGACCTCTCCGAGGAAGTCGCTAGATTTGATGCAATATACTCGGCGCAATGACTGATGACGAGTCCCTCCCACATGCCAAGACATAAGGCCGTGGGGACCCTGCAATGAAGCTCACCTGCCAAGAACCACCGAGAAACATCCTAGCGACATCACTTGCCCGGGCGACGCGTGTTATTAGTTTTGATCAGGGTGTGATTGGCTGCCTTTAGTCTGACGAGTGTGAAGATCTGCGCTCTAGATGGAGTTCCGGCTACATCTTTATCCGCCATCTATCAAACACCGCCGTTGTATGCCCTCAACCCTGGAGTTAATGAGGCAGTGACAGTGGCCCAGAATTAGGCCGACACGCGGAGAATCGTCCGCCGTCTGGGCAGGATGGCGGAGGACTGGTCTATCCCTAGGCACCGCCGGCTTGATGTACTGCTGAGGTTGTGTTGCGCAATGGCAGCCCTGGATCTTGGGATTTGGCCACCAGTCCTCAAAGCGATAATACGTCAACGTCCGTGACAAATTCCATAGTACTGCAAACCGAATCTGCTCTTGGCGCGCGGACCACATGACTGAAGGTCGGGTATTTGTGAGTAGCGCACCTGTGAACTGCGGCACCTGGAACGGTGTCCTAATGGGGACAAATCCCGCTTCGATCAAGTACGGGATCTCGGCCCTTGAGGTTGAGCGACGGCGGCGCCGATCATATATTTTGCCAAGCATATGCTATCAACATGCCCCACGAATACACTCAAAGGGACTCGGGTGGCGGATGTTAGGGGGATTTGGCACGGTATCAGGGAGGCACGGGATCGAATTGGGCCAATCGATTGCACCCGAGGGCGCCTCCTCGGCCTGACACCGATGAGTTTCAGGACTACGCGAAAGCGGGGAGGAGTATGCAAGTCTGGAATATCCTGTGGGACGTAAGTATTGAGCTCTGGACATGTTTGATCGCTTGCGTGCGAACAAAGGACGATGCCATAAGGCGGGCGTAAGGACGCGTGGTGGCCAAGGATTGGGACAGGGGTCAGGTCTAGACAAGTCAGTAACTTTAGTATAGACGCGTATGATCATTTACAGGACGAGGGGGCATTGGACAGAAATGTCCGGCTCATTTGGAGAATTCTCCGCAGCGACGGAGAAATGCGGCCAACATGTCTGGACATCAACACAGACGGGATAGATGAGAGGGGGCAAACCTCAGCCAGTCTCCTAGGTGTTGTGGTGACAGTGGCAATGGGAGGATGCTCAAAGACTCAATCGAGATACTGAGCTATTGTCGCTTCACTGGAGACGAGAAGTGATGAGTGGTGGGTGGTGGATGGTGAGTGGTGAGTAGTGAGCAGTACTAGGTAGGTAGCTTTGGTTTAGGTAGTGCTTCAGCTCGTGATTCTACCCTATTAGCTTCCCTCTTTATCTTCAGAAGGCGGACTCGTTGATAACACTCAGGTAGCAACAAGCAACCACCGATATCCCCTGTCCTCCCAATGCAGCTTTGGTTACTTCATTCAGGCTAATATGCCTCTTACTGATATGCTGTTGAATGATGTTCCTCAAAGCTCTGCAATGTTTTTGAGTCAATATGTGATGCCAATGTCAAGAGTTGGAAGCTTATTGCCTCGAGGCCGACTCCTCTGCACAATGGCTATCGAGCATGCACTCTGTAAGTACTTAGTACCAACCAGCGTACTACTTACCAGCAGATGTCTTGTGAACACCAGCTATGCCATTGAACAAGGATCGTCGCTAGAGAGTTTTTAATCGACATCTTTAATTCAAAGACCAGGAATGCACGCTGAGAGACGACGTCGAAGAACATATCAATCCACGGAAGCACGACTTCAGTACCTCTTTACATACTTTCCCCTCGGCCGTGATTGTTGTCACCACAATAGGAACCATTCCACAAGCCGCAAGGTCGGAGGCTGCTGAGCTGTTGCGCGCTCTCATTTGATTATAGCTGCGGATTGTGTTCGCTCTGGGTCGCTCCTGGATAGGCTGCACTATTGGCGATCGTCCACCCTTTTTGTTCACCTTGAGTACTCATTGATGTCTGTAGGGCATTTTACAATAACGCCAATGCCTAGCTGGCCGTTCTAGTAAGACAACCAGAACCTTGAAGAGGGAAAATACGACCGCTTTCATTCATGCATAGGCATCTGGTCCGTTGGGGCCTGTTCGAAAGCTTCGAGCAACAGCCGATCGTATTTCTCTTTGTCTTTCACCTTTTCCTGAATGAACCTAGCTGCATTGAGCGTCAAGTAGTCCATAGTAATTTGAAAAATGCTGCATCGCCTAAGTGATCCTTTGAGAATCGTGGCTGGATGTGGTCGTAAAATATTCTAAATAGTCCAGTGGGGCTGTCGAGAGCAAGAGCATACCAGTACGTGCCTTTATTCCGGCCTTCTTGGAGTATTGAATAGATCTGGTTCCTGTGTTGCCATGAGCGCTTCGATATTTGTTCCGCAAAAGCCTGCATAAATTCTCTATGCAGGCTCTTGTATGCGTCAAAATCAATCGCATCGACGGATTGGTTAGTCAACCGATACGGAGGATGAATCATCTCTGCTGGAGGAGAGCAAGCCCATTCAAGGTCGACTAGGTATCTGATATTCCAGTCATCATTGACAAAGATATTGCTTTGATGGAGATCCGTTAAGCTCATGTAGAATGTGCCTCGGCGGAGACCGGGACGGAAGAATAAGTTTCGAACAGCTCTCATCACCGTGAGACCAGCCATCTGGAACAAGTCATCTTGGACATTATTGACCGCATTCAGTTGATGACGGAGGCGACTCTCATGAAAGGCAAGTATGTCGCTAACATAGGAGTCGATGGTGGAATACGTAAAGTCGCGCGGGATATCGACCGGAACATGCTGATTCTCCAGATCCTGAATCTCAAGAGTAAGAGGTCTGTTCCTGAGCCTTAAGCAACCCTTCTCATCCACGATGAAAGAACCAATTTTGGGTAGAGGAGTACGTGTAATGACCAACATGATATCAGACAAGCTTCGGAAAAGGTACATCCGTAATCTAGGATCATGCCGTCCTTGGTTCCATGATGCAGACAGCATCCTACCCCTTGACACATCAATGTAGTCAATCAAGAGATATCTGACCCCTAAGAGGTTTCCCGAATTGCTGTTATGAGCCACATATTTGAATGGGACTGGGAATCCCAGGAATCTTAGAATATGGCGGCGAACGGCTTCGACCGAGCGAGTCAAGAAAGGCAGGTTTTCGAGAGCAGTAAACTAATTCTAAGAAAAAGCTAGCCCAATGAAAAGAGGAGGTGCACCTACGTTCTGGCCGGTTGATAACCCGTATTCATGTAGTTGCGGGATGGGGACTCCTGGGCAGTTGTGCTGGAGCCAGGTGTAGGTACCAATTTCACATAGAAGTTTCTCATCAGCGTTCCCTAGGTTGACGTTCTCCTCGACCCTGTGTGGCAGAGAAAAGCCGATGTAGAAGGCTGGGGCGCTGCCGAGTGCTTTCAACATAGATGGGGATGCAAACGAAGGTCCCAGAAAGCCATTTGCTTGGTTCGGCGATGCGGCAGCTCGTCGGGACCAACTTGAGATGGTGTGCGACCACAGTTTCCAAAAGCTGGCTCTTTCGGCGCAAGACTTCGAAATAACTACTCTGCTGATCCCAATAGCTCAACGAGTGCAGTACATTGGCTTCAATTTCTTTGGCTGCAGAATAAGTAATCTCGCCCCGGAGCAGACGACGAGTTGTTGTGGTGGTTGTGGTTGTAGAAGGTAACATTGAGAACCGCTTTCCTTGAGTCGAGAAGCTTACCTACCTATCTAGGGACTGGAGTCACTCAGATCACATGTCATAGTCTCCTTTCTCAACCTAACAAGCCTGTTAGAGAAGTTCATAACCTTATCCATGATCCCTTCTCCAAGAGGTTCGCAGCGTACCATACCTATTCCGTATATCACGTGTGTGGCATGTACTCCGTACATCTTTGACACGCCAAGGCTTGCGGTCTCTCGACTTCCATAGCCTACAACAGGTCGACAGCTTCCATTTCCCACTTTTTACGTTTCCTTCTGCCATGTAGCTCGTCATGGCCACTGTAGGCGCCTGGCCAGGTGGGTGCTACTGCAGCTGTCAAAATTGCGGTCGGACAACAAGCTTACATTATCTTGCAGGCAAACCGGGGGCCCACCATTCTACTGCCGATATCTACCAAGCATGGAGGATATCAGCTTGATCCTTCACGAGCACAGTCCTCGAGAAATTGAAACAATTCACCATTCTCTGTCCGTGACGAGCAACAGATAGAAAGAAGGGTGGTGTATAGCAAGAACGCCTTTTCCCGCACTTCGCGCTCCCGATTCGTGGTGGTGAGGTTGCACCGACCGCTCCTAAGCGCCCGGGAAGGACAGGAGTGCATGGTGCTTGTTTGAAGAACGATTCTTCAGGGGAAAAGAGGGCAGCGACGAGCAAATGAACTGCTCAGAATCCTGCTGGGCGGCTAACAGCCTCTGATGGCCGCTCCTGCAGCCCGCAAAGGGTGGGCACTCAGGGTCTGCTGCATTATTTTTGGCAACTAGGAATCGTTGCAGCTACAGACGGACGCTTTCTCGCGTCGCGACATGGGGAATAAATACCCACTGTCCTCAGGCATCTGACTCTGTTCTTGCTGCTCAAGTACCATCTCCTTCTTTTTTTCTTAAATTCTTTTTGGTGATGAGCCTGACCGGCTTGCTGGCAAGACCGATTTCTGCTTGACGAATTCACGTTCACTTTACTTTGCTGTTTGACACTTGACTCTCACTGAAAGAGCCGTGCCTTCTCTCACTTCTTGTTTCTGCTGCATCAAATCTCCTCTCCAGTTTTTCCCAGCTCCAAGCTATGGACTCAGCATCCTCCACCGTGGCCGCGTCGTTCACCTCGACGTCCCACGCCTCCCTCGAGGCGGAGTCCAAGTTCCTGACGCGCACTCGCCTCCTCCGCCTCATTCGCCTGGGGCTGGCGATCCTTATCTTCTGCGTGGCGATCCCGACCATTGCCTGCGAGGCCGTGGCCCTGCACCACTACCGCCAGACCTCGCGCTACAGCCAAGTCTGGCTCTACCTGTGGCCGCTGAACCTGGACCTGCGCCCGGCCAAGGCCCTGCTCGCCTGCGGCAGTGTGATCGCGTTCCAGACCCTCATCTACATCATCTCGGCCCTTCTTCCATCGGTCAGTCCACCGTCCCATCCCCACCTTGGCAGTAACCAACTGTGAAGCCCAGTCCCCACTAACAAATCGAAACGTCTAGCCCCACTCCCACATCCGCCGGCTAAACCTCCTCGCCGCAGTCACGGCACTCTCGGGCTTCATCACGGCTCTCGTGGGGTTCGTGTTCGTGATCTACCGCCCCGGTGCGGAGGGCCGCAACGGGTTCCACGACACCGAGACCCTCCATTCGTGGACGTGCAAGTGGAAGACGTCTTCGGGTAGTAGTAGCAGCAGTAGCAGTAGTAACGTCCCGGCGCATTTCGCGCGGGACTGCGCGGTGACCCATGCCTCGTTTGTGTTGCTGGGGGTGCTGATCGGGCTGGAGATCGTGATGGGCGTCGTCGCGACGGCGGGGCTGTGGCTGGAGCGGAATGTGTCGCGGCAGCGGGTGACGGAGAAGCCGTCGTTGGAGATGGTGGGGATGGTGGATACCAAGGTTGATCGGTATCCGGGGACTTGAGAGGTGGTCTGGCTGTACGACGAATATTGTTGATGATGGCTGATGAATGGGGCTTCCTCCAGCACGGTATCAAAGGGTATGCATGTATGTATTGTTGGATCGGATGGGATATAGCGAATGCTCGTTGGATACAGATTTGTATGTGCTAGTCTGACATTGACACCTTATATCTCTGATGTAGTCTTCCAAACTTTAGCTTCCTATTCTCTCGTCTGGAAGGGCTAATATCAGCTTCCAAGCTTCTTGGAGACTGCAAATCCCAAGCCCGCACAATTGAGCGAGAGTATGAACGAATCAGTCTGGTATGAGCAAACGATCATAACTTAGACGTAGTCCCCCTGCTCTTCGCACTATCCATCCTCACCCCCTCGTCATCCTGCTCCTCCACCTCCAGCACCGGCAACTTCTTCGGCATCATCCGTCGGGGATTGGTGCCCGGCACGACGGAGTACTTGGAGAAGTCCGTGACGCCGCAGTGATCGCGCAGGAAGTCCTCGTCCAGCGCGAGCATGCCGTTGACGATATGAGGGGGAGTGTTCAGGATCCCGAGGATTGCATCGGAGAAGATAGTCTGGCGGTTGTGTCAGTATACTATTGAATGACAACAGTCCTTATAAGTAAAAGTAGGAAGGTTCAACTCACTGGCTTCCTCAAGTCCGCTTTCGAGCGTGATTCATCATCCCCCGCGGGGTTCATCTCCGTAGCGGCGGACTGAACGGCCTGTTTGCGCAGCATCAGCACCATCCTCATCACCCCTACAAATCCCCCATGATTCTCCTGCATGAAACCGGGAAACCATACCGTAGCAGGCCAGATACTCGTAATAGCCATCTCCGTCTTCCCCTCCCTCACAAAATCCATCGCCAGCCCGCGCGTCAACACACTCATCCCGACCTTCCCTGTTCCCAGTCAGTTAAAAATCATCCCAACCCAGAGAGCCCTCTCTTCCCTTCACCCTAGCCCCTAGCTTACCACCCCCCCAAAAGGGAAGAAAGAGACGTACCAATCGCATACCCCGTCTTCCCCCGAAAGAACCGCGAGTACACCGGCGGCGAGACCACCACGATCCGGCCGCGGTTCCCGTTCCGCTCGAACACCGGCAGCACCGCCGCGACCGTCGCATACAGCCCCTCCGGGTTGACCTGCTGCATCAGCCGGAACCGCTTGACCGGGGTGTTGGCCACGGACGACCACCAGATCGCGCCCGAGTTGTACACCACCACGTCCAGCCGGCCGCCGGTCAGGCGGAGGGTTTGTGCAACCAAGTCATCGATCTGGGCCGGGAAGCGCACGTCGACGGGGATCGGGAAGGCGGTGTTTGGGGTGCGGAGGTTGATCTCTTGGGCGACGGTGGTGATGGTTGAGGCCGGGGAGTTGGGGTCCGGGGGGAAGTTTTGTGGATTTGTGATGGTGGGAGGTGGGGAGGTGGATTTGGCGGCGATGATGACTGGGTTTTGGCTCCGGGTTAGCTGGACGGTCGGTGATGGTTTGGAGGGTGGGAGGGGATTCTTGAGTGTGAGTGTACCGGTGTAGTTGTTCTTCGCGAGGTCGATGGCGATTTGTCGGCCTATGCCTCGCGAAGCGCCGACGATCAGGGCGACAGGCTTGTTGGGGGATGCCATTGCTTGGTCTTTCAGGTGTAACTATATACGAGTAGCTTGGCTATCTCAGAATGATGGGATATCGACATCAAGAGTCCTTATATGCTAGGTCTGTCGATCCATGTCATCCTCGGTTGAGAGATTATGATTAGTCGTCGTTCGTCATGGTCGGCTCTTGGGATTTGGTGGCTTGCAGGGTTCGGAATCGAGACTTGGAAATAATCAAGTAAGCCAGAGAGAGCTCTTTGACAAAGCTCAGAGAGTCATGCTCAACCGCATATCGCTCCAAGCATGATCTCCACAGTTTGAAGTCGTAGCATCTCCATAATGGAGTCTGAATCGATAGGCTTATCACGATAAGGGAGGAAGTTAGCCTCGGCTCCGCACACCTCGAGTATGATTCGCTGGCATACTTACATAATCTCTCACCTTAGTCTTATCGCTCACCGCCTGGCAAAACTACACCTTTTCATGCTTTCGTCTCCTTCTCCGCGATGAAGCTTACAGTGTGCACATCTACTGACTCAATTTACAATATACCCCCATCATGGCGCCCGACCCAGAAGTCACCCCCGCAGCAGCCGACCTACTCATTGAAGAAGAAGAAGAAGAGTACAACTCCGACTCGGACTCGGACTTCCAACTCGACGACGATTTCGCCGCCCAGAAAGACGACGATGCCGGCCTAACCTCGTCGGACGAGGAGGACAACGACGAGGCAGCAGCAGCAGCAGACGGACAACCCAAGGCGAAACGGCGGAAGACCACCACTACCACGCTAGATTCCGCTGCGACTGCCGAGTTAGACTCCGGCGACGAGGCTACGATCCGGAAAGACAAAGCGCAGCGGAAGACTGAAGATGGGGAGGAGGAAGAGGGAGGCACGGGGGGCTTTGTCCGTACGCGGGCTATGAAGATGCGCGCGTATGTTCCCAGTCTTTACCTCGCAGAGGCTGTTGGTTATAGCTATATAGCTAACCTATATGATGGGATTATCTAGTCAAGACGAACGCAAACCCCTCGCCAAGATCGACGGCGCGACCGTGGACGTGGACGCGCTCTGGGCGATGATGAATGCACCGGAGAACAACGGCGGACTGCACGCGGGCAGCGGCGGGAAGAACGACGGCGGCGCACCAGCGACACAGAGTGGCGACGACGTGGAGATGCAAGAACCCTCCTCCACCGAAACAGATCCCCAGACAAAACAGTCGCAGAAACCGTCCGAATACGCCGAGGAGATGGTCAAGATCAAGCGCACCTACAAGTTCGCCGGGGAGATGATCACGGAGGAGAAGATCGTGCCGAAAGACTCGGCCGAGGCGAAGCTGTACCTCGCCAACCATGGCGATGCGAATGTCGAGACGATCGATGCCACCACCACCACCGCCACCGAGGACGTGGCGATCAAGCTACGCAGGCCGCTGCGCCGGGTCTCGCGGTTCGACCCCAACCCGACCGGGGCGATCAAGAAGAGCTGGGAGAAGCAGCCTGCCGCCGAAATCACCGGGCAGGACGAGAACGCCCGCGGCCCGAAGATCAATACGGTCGAGAAGTCGCGGATGGACTGGGCTGCGTATGTGGATAGTGCGGGTCTCAAGGACGAGCTCAAGGTGCACAGCAAGGCCAAGGAGGGCTTCCATGGCCGCATGGAGTTCCTGGACCGCGTGGGTGCGAACATCGAGGAGGAGAGGCGGAATGCGCGTCTGAAGGGACTGTGAACCGAGATAGCCGCACTGCTTCTTCTCGTTGCATACAGATTGCAACTTCCGCTATCCTCGGGATGGACGGAGCTTTGCCAATCAGAATCAGCACGTCCCACACGCGCGCTCTGATGCTCATATTGATGTTGCTGTCCGTGTCCCGTTTGAGGCATTGGAAGGCCGACTGGCTGGCCACCTTCACATGCAACGATCGCTTATAATCTGCGTGTAAGCGATCACACTGGCGGACCAACCATCTCGCATGCGCACAAACCTACGCCCGTAGTGAATATCCTTTCAGACCCACTATGCCATGTCAAAAGATTGACATGGCCCCATGCTCTTCGCTTATGAAGCAAGAGAACTCGATTGGACCGGATAATATGCTTCTGCACATGAGGTTCGATGGAGTCGCCAGCCTCCCACAGCACGCTGTGAAATTCGTTATGGTCTTGACGAAGACACCCCAACACCAGCGGCCGACTGGTAGCCGCTTTTCGTCCAATGAGACTACACAAAAGGCACATGTGATAAATTACGAATGGACCAAACGAGGGACAACGGGTTCCTAGCGTATATAGATGATGTGGACTCTCGCTATATAGCTTTTCCGGGCATGTGTTCCATCAACCAGTTTTAGGACACACTAGGTAGTAGCATGTACAATAAAGCACCCACGAAACTTTTTACAACCCCCCTCCCCAACCCGCTCACTCTCTTTTTCTTCAACGAACAGTGTTCCACGATGTAGCCCTAGGATGATACAAGTCCCCCCAGCTCTTCTCAGGATATCTAGCTCGACTTGGGCAGATACTTGATCCCCGAGCTAGGGCAGTTGCTGGTCTCCACTGGAAAAATAGAAACCCATTTGATTAGCATGCAGTTTTCGGGGGGAGCGGGTTTCCAAGGCTGTTCGTGCAGGAAGAATTCTCAACTTACGTCTCTCGGCCGCAACATAAGTTCCGTCGATCGCGTTACCCTCGAGATTGAAGTAGTAATAGAGCTGGGACAGTTCCTTGCTGCTGCAGTAGACGTAGGGGGCGAAGCCGTCGTGGATGGCAGCGAGGGCATCCTCGATGTCGCTCAGCTTGTAGGTCTTGCTCGAGCTGGGGGTGATGCCCGCGTCGGCGAGGGCCTGCTCGTACCAATTAGCTTTGCTCCGATTTCCCCGTGGGTCGGGCGGGAAGGGGACAGAAACGTACAGTGTAAGAGTCCAGGGTCTTGAAGAGCGAAACAGTCTTGTCGAAGAAGTCGCCGACCTCCTCCTGGGCGGTGTAGTCGGTGTAGCAGCTGGGGTCGATGGTGTTGATGCAGGTTCCTACGAAGTGAAGTTCAGTATTGAGGGGGAGCTGTGGCATCCAGATCCAGCGAACGTACCATGCGTGGCCCACTCGTGCTCCCAGAATTCTTCGTTGCTTTCATCGTCGCTCTGCCAGTAGGTGTTCATATACTCGAGCAGCTCGGTGCGGCCCTGCGCCTCGAGAATCTCCGTGATGTTGGTGTAGGCGCGCGAGGCGTCGCAGTTTTCTTGGTAGGAGCCGTCGCAGTTGTCGGGCCTGGGGTTCGATTGTTGTTAGCCAGTCTAGGAACCCCTTCGATGTGAAGTAGGCAGAATGGGCGTACCAGAGGCCGTGGATGGTCCAGGAGTCACTGGGGCCGGTGACAGGGTCGGTGTCCCAGAACTGGGTCTGGAGAAGGGAGCCACCGGGGGATTCGAAGCAGCAGGAAGCCTCGTTGTCGGTCTGACAGCTGAGAGGGCTGTCGGAGGGGCAGGTGTCGATGGTAGCCAGTACACCGGAGCTGAGCGCACTCAGGGCGAAAACACCCATGGCGGAGAGAGACATTTGAGGCATCGTGCTGGAAGTGAAAGCGAGCAAGGAGGATGTGGAAGCTGCTGAGCGACCTGCGGATAGACAAATAAAACAAGATGCTATAGCAGACGAGAAGGAGAGAGGGAGTTGGCGCTACTTATACGCCGGTGATAGACAATTGCCCGGCCTACCTCGCTCAAGCCGCATACCCCTCGGTTGTGGTGGAGAGTCCCTCTCTGCATCTTGATGAGGGCTGATAGCAACATGTGCTGATAAGGAATTGCTGATTCGCCAGGACCGACCGATAATTGAGTCGGGAGTCGGACGATGCTGTCAGGACCCGCAGGGCGACTGGGGGTTTGTGGGCGATGAATGGCCAATTGAGCGTGACAGCGTCATTCTGCAGCCGGAGACTAGATGAAGCTACGACGGGACTCCTTCGGAGAAGAAGCAATGGGAGCAGATGCCAAACAATCGATAAAGGTTGGTCAAAGTAGTGTGCATTAGGATGGGTTGCATTGCTCTTCCCGTCGGGGCAGCTGGCGATCTGATTCGCTGTGGAGGGAAGATCTTCAGCTTCTGAGGACCGGTTTAATTTGGAGAACTCCATCTGTTCATCAACCAGGCTGGACGAATGGTCTTGGAGAAGCCATGTTGGGGGATGCAGTGTCAACACCTGCCGCCAATCACTTGCGATGTGCAATGTTGATGGAAGCTCGCCGGCAAGCCCAGCACGGAGCAGATAATCCCAGTTGATGTCTGCGTAGATTAAAAGCTGTCTATTCATCCCTGCAGAAGAGTACAGAGCACGATAACAAGGCATTGACTTGGCATCGGAGCTCCCCGCCCATGCCTTGTCGATACTTTTCTCATGTGTCGGAGCATGCCTTGATAATAAATTGATCGAAGGTGAGGGTGGTATCGACCGATAAGGCCGAGGAGCCATTGTAGATAGAGTCCGTCAACTAGCGATCGAGACACATGGCGACCTCGGACCCTGATAGCCAGATGATGTGGGAGGCATGCTGCTCCTGTGTATCGCACAGAGTTGAGTGCCGTAGCATTGAAAGTGATCTGAATGGTATCGAATCGTCGAGTCGCAGCAAGCCAGACGGAAGATAATCTTGAGGTAGGAAGGAGTAGGAGAGGAGGAGACTCGATGCTCGGCCCGCACTGCAGTAAGGAAGCAATATCTCAGCCTGAGGCAACGACAATACCTACAATTTTGAGTCACCACAGCAGCACGCGCTATACCAGGCATCGGATAGACGAAAGACAAAACACTCGAAGAGCCAGTGGCTACATGCTAGATCAATGCAATCAGACAACTACATCACCCTCTACCAGATAACCGTCCAACTTCCAACAATTGATACCCCAAGCACAAACTATGATACCCTCAACGTCGAACCCCCGCCCCCGGCTCCCCTACCGCATCATCCCCGCGCACACCCCCGAGCATCTCTCCGCCATCCGCTCGCTCTTCCGCGCCTACGTCCAATGGCTGAACATCGACCTCACCTTCCAGGATTTTGAGACCGAGCTCAACTCCCTTCCGGGTAAATACGGTGCCGCGTACGGAGGAGACCTTCTCCTGGCCTACAGCAGCAGTAGTAGCACAACAGAGGAGCACAGCATTCCTCTGGGCTGCGTAGCTCTCCGTCCCCTCACTCTACGATCACAATATCTAGATCCTAGTCCTGGTGGTGATGTTGACCATAATACACCGGAGATCAAGTACTGTGAGATGAAAAGGCTGTATGTCTCCCCGGAGGCACGGAGGATGGGATTGGGGAAGGCGTTGGTGGAGGCGGTGGTGCAGCGGGCCAGGGAGCTGGGGTATCAGGCCATGAGACTCGACACGCTGCGGACGATGGAGGGACCGTTGAAGTTGTATCGGGCCGCGGGGTTTGTGGACGTCGGGCCGTATTATGAGACGCCTTTGGTGGAGGAGACGGTGTTTTTGGGGTTGGAGTTGAGGGGGACGGAGTGATGTAGATTGTGGTGGTGGTGGTGGTGGTGGTGGTGGTGGTGGTTATTGTTGGCCTCTGCGAATTGGCCGAGTCCGATCGCCAGGGTTGGTGACTTACTCGGTGGACTGTCTCAAAGAGAACAAAAAAGAAGGCATGAATTACTCTGTTTATGCTTCTACGGAAATGACATAGAAAATTTGGAATAGACCAACAGCGCACAAACATAACTTGTCGTTCTTTGAACCTCCAACAACACATCCAAGTATGGACTGCCGACTAGCCACTTGTCCTCTCCGAACTCAGACTGTTGAGCTTGATATTTTGAAATGGAGCACTCATAGCAGACATCTTACGCCTGCGTCATGCCAAAGAGAAAGAGTCATCATCGTTCGAGAAGCCAATCGATTCAACATCAACCACTTCCTATCCATCGATAATCGAGGTACCATAGCCGAGGTGACCATTGGACCCAGGGTCACCCGGTGGAGTTGAACCAACCATCCACTAATCGCCCCGCAGGGCCCATTCGCCCGCTCTACCAACATCATGTAGAGAGTTGAGGGCCAGGGGTAGTAGTGATGAGTCGACCATTGTCCGCGGTTCTCATTGCGGAAGCACAACAAGTGGCAAGCAGGAGGATAAGAAGACAACAAAAAGACGAAGGGATCGCGCAGGAGGAGAAGTGGTTTAAATCATACGATTTGAGGTAAGCAGGTTTGGCGTGGTGGTCTGTGCTGCTGCTGCCTGCTTACTACTTAGTGATGAGGTCAGAGCATCGCCTGCGTGCCCCAGGCATAAATGACTATACTACATATGGATGGAATCAACACCACGCCTCAATTGCATGTGAGCTGTCACAACGTACCCAGGACGGTTTATTCACACAGAGAAAAATCCTCTCAGAAGGCTCGAACTACTGCTTTTAGGCTGCATTGATTCCATTAAACTGACTCCCAAGCCTGGAGCCACAATCCATCCCTGGGCTTCCCCCCACACACCGTCGCAGAGGGAAAGGTAATTACCGGTATTCCATACTGTGGCTCGGTGAGGCAGATCATAGTGGGGAGAAACTCGATGGAAGTAGAACTAGCTGGTCAAACCAAGGCAGTCGCTACGCTAAGGCACATACTGCTTATGTTGAAATAGATAGTCCGGCATAGTGAGAGCCACCTGAGATGACGATGCCATGGCAGGCTCGCAGATTCTCCGTGAGTGGGGAAGGGAACTAGTACTTCAACAGACGGGCGCCCTATGGTCTGACCGAGTACGTAGACGGACTGCGTTGTTCATATGTAAAGGCGTACATAGTTTGGTGGGTGCCTTCTGACTAATGGATGTCGAAAGGACGAACGGTGCTTTTGTAGATCGTGCAATGGGAGAGTGCAGGGAAAAGAGTCCCGGATATCCCCGGTGATCGGCACCTGTTTAGCAGCAAAGCCCGAATGTTGAGATTGCAGACAGGAAAAGATTTGAAGGGTTGGTATGTGCAGTCGTGCGATCCTACAGTTTCGTATGAGAGCAGACGCTAGCTGGGATCCAGTCCAGTCCAATGTAAGTAGGGCAGGCGACGATAGTTAACGGCTGCTGTGGCTTTCCAAATTTAGGAGCTGCACTTGAGGTTGTTTTACTCACGTATACAGCAAAGCTTGACTTGAATTTACGGGCTCAGCGCGGTATACAGGCCCAGTCGACCTGCAAACTTGTGTGGGAAAAGCCATGTACGACAGCAACCAGCAAATCCTAAATCAGCAAGATCTATCTATGAGTTCGTGAGTTCGGTCAGATGCTTGTTGCATCTGCGATTCTAACGAACCATAGTAGATCAAGTTATACGTGGAAGTTGATAGGCATAAGCACCACAGAACCAGAAGGGAAAAAAGCAAGTGCCAGTGGAGACATTGAGGATATGTGGATCTCGCGGTCATCGCGCTATAAAATGCATGAGCAAAGAGAATGGCACGGAGATCGCCCATGGCGTGTTTGAAGAGGCGTCTAGAACAGGAACCACCCCGCTCACACCAGCACTCGAGCTGAGGCGTGGAGCTTCCGAGGTAGTATCTAGAGGTTGTAGATGGGCGGTGGCTCTGGGATACCACCTAGTAATTTAAGTCTGATCTGATGCAGAAGCTCTCTTGAAGAGACCGGGACTGGTGGATAGAAGTTCCCGTAGCATTTTTCAATCTGTAGTCACACATGCCTAGGCAGTATGTAGTAGACATACCCACAAGCATTGCCCAAGTACATACTGTACATGCGCACATCAGGCTCTCGAAGCTTCTTAGAACGCCAACCTTGGCACAGCTTCTGAAATTCAAGAACTCCCCAGCTGTATCCAAACTAGTCGAAAATGGGGCGGGCCCTGCAGAGCATGCATGCGCATATGGTTATCCCATTCAACACCGTTCATGCCAAGGCCAACTCCCGATAGCCGGCATGGCCTCTTACAGTGAGTCGTCAATCTGGAGAGGACAGTCTTGCTGCACCGATCCACATTTGGTAACACGATCTCACATCTCCATAGGGGCAGGGGTTGGATTCCATTCCACACGCACCTTAAGTATCAGTTACCGAAGACTAAAAGTTCGCGTGATGGGGGGTAGCCTTTACTCTTCCCTTGGATTGCACAGCACCTGGGTCTAATTTTGACGCGTCACGGGCTAAAAGTCAAGCCCACGTACCAGGAATCAGTACTTGGTACTTTGAACGCTAGGATTCTGCTGGCACTCCGCTAGCATGAAGTACATTACAGGTACTTCCTAGAGGCCACAGAGCACCCAGAGGCGTACTTCATAGCACACATTCCATATCCGCCGTTCCGCGAGACCGAGAGAGGAGAGCAGGATTCTTGACTTGCGAAGAAGGGCCAATCGGTTGTGACTCCTGCCACAGTACATCACACTTCGACTGCTGTAGCATTATCGAAACGAATGATAGCCAAAGCTGCATATATAAGATCTTTGATGGACGTCCACCTTCGACCTGATGCCATGATTGATCATCAAAAGCGTCAGTCCGACGAAGGCCTGTCACGTAGATGACTGGGAGCTGAACCGATCAGTGTAGCTGATCTTGCGTTTGTCATGTGCAACACTTGAATGATCGTTTGTCGAGATGGTAAGTCGAGAAGTTTTGAAGCTTGGGTTTGAGAACAGACGAGCTGCTACTTTATGATGCTAGTCAGCTGTATGGTTAAGTACGCTCTACAGATCGAGATGTGCAGACGGAGCTTGTATCATCGGTGGTAATAGGTATCCAGTGGTTTGCTGGGCCTCTGTATAAGAGCGACTCAGAAAGCAATTTGGAGTTCCGCAGTGTCGTCCACGAACAGAGAAATAGTCCAAAAGGGAAAGACGAGTGCATATTGATGGACGGCATGTTCCACCGCATGGACCCCGAGATATCCATCGAATTCAGTATGTATCTCTCCCGATCGAATGGTAAGACCGCACGGCAGAGAGTCGATTAGCGGTGTGCCGTGGCCCAGTGATCTGGGACGGATCGGGGAAAAAGAGTCAGATGCCAGCATTCCGTGCGACCTACCCCATGGAGGCGGAGATATGTGCTGTTGTAAACACCATTAATAACTGCCTAGAGAGGTGAATCAATCATCTTCAGGTCTCGGACCTCGATAACCACGGAGCTTGGCATGTGGGACTATTGCTTTCTGGGTTTCAGAGGCTTGGAGCCATCCCGGTTGCTGGAACCAGGAGCGGGGAGAAGGAAGGCGAGAGGTAATCGAGGCGGTGCAAAGAGAAAAAAAAGCGATGCGGGGATGAGTTGAGGACAGAAAAAGGAGATTGACTGATTGTCACCTGTTTGAGGGCAAGGATAGTACTGTGCATACTTAGTACTAACTCACCTAGGGGGCTAACTAGTACGTAAGTTGCTCTCAATATGTTCGGTATGTAACTAGCCACCGGGAAGATCTAGCATTTCCATTGCAGTAGTTGCTGGGCTGTGGATGTGTTTGTCTGTTTTGAGTCTAGCCTGCCTGAGGTATCTATAAGATAGAACAGATCCATGGGAAGCGGCAGACCTTCCGCCAATGGGGAATCTGCCATTGTGGAGAGACAGAGCCATCACTGAATGTACGTTACTTACAGTACACATCTCCACCAGTTTTCAATTCAACAAACTAAATGTTTTCGACATGACACATCCACCCATTGACCCCCAATTCGACACAGATCCATCTTTTTTGCTTCCCCTGGACACGACGGGCTGTCATTCTGAGACAGAATTAACCTCGGCCCGATCTTGCTAGCCCGACCCCTCGGCTGAGTTGATGTGTTCCAGCCCATCCAACGGAATCTTCGAAACCACGCTAAGCCATCGAATCCCCACTTGAAAGTACATTGTATGGGGAGTAAATAAAAAAATAAAAAAAAAGTGAAAAATGAAAGTCAAGATTTGATCCATCATAATACAAGACAAAGGAAAAGGGTGCTGCATCAGACCTGACAGAAAGAAAAAATAAGAGCACTTTCATTCCTTCGTTCTCTTTCCACTGGCGTTCCATAGTCTTCCTTCGGGCTTCCATCCCACACTCCATCGGTTATTAGCTCCTATAAGGGTGTCGGTAGTCAACAATAAGATCAATCAGATCAAGCATAGCAGACAAACAGCGATCACTTGAAGTGTACAAAAACTCTGCCGTGCTTTTTTTAGCGTTCAATGCATTATTATTCGATATGGGGATAAGCCTCCTCAGCGTTCCAAAGACACGTTTTTTGGGCAATGGATGGAGAAATGAAAGAGGGATAGGAAACGAACTTTGTAGAAAAGAAAAAGGATATGCAACATCAAAACCAACAAAGGAAATTATCCGGTATATATAACCAGGTATGTTTTACAAATAAACGCCGCGAAGCGCCGACAGGGTCTGCCTGGCCCTGTGTTTCTGTCCCCATCTAAGACCAAAAAGGAGAAATGGCAACCTGTTCGCCAAGGGTATCATGGTTTGGTCCGCCTGTCCTAAACTTCCGCCCGCTTTCAATCGTCCCATTCGACACTCATATGACGAGTGCCCGACATGGTGTCGTCGTGCTTTTGAGAATACAGCGGTCGCCCATCAGGGGTCAGCTGGCCGCGATACTCTGGGTTGTAGTCGGGACTGTTTTCGTCCAAGGTGGCGACGTAGCGGTTGCGGCCGCCTCGCTTGCTGTGGGTCTTCGTATAATGTGCGTTAAGGTTGTCACTGCGGGAGAATGCGCGATGACACCCAGGGACCCAGCAAACATGGGGCTTCTCCTTGGAGTGGCTTTTCATATGTCTCTTTAGGTGCTCTTGCCTCTTGAAGCGTCCCTTGCACCCAGGCTCTTTGCACTTAAATTGCACCTGTTTGATGATAGACGGGAGGCTCTCCAGGCTCAGGCTCTGCTTAGAGGCTTGCTTCCGGGCAGTCTTGCGAGAGGGCTGACGCTGCACTCGAACAAGACCATCCCGGTAGACAGGTGATTGACTAAAGTCATCCATGTAGTCCATGCTACCTGACAGGCGAGAAATGGGAGTATCCGATCCAGATCCACTACCCAGCGAGCAGGACCGCACAGGAGTGGCTGGGGTGTGTGTCTTGAAGGCACCGAGTGATGCTGGAAATTCCGAGTACGATGGAGGTGGGGTGACCGGGGCAACCTGGGAGGGCGCAATTGTCTGTGGAGCAATCGATTCGGCGGGCGGGGCCATCCAAGGAATCATATTTCCCATTGACATGGAAGTTGGAATCCGTTCATGCTGATGATGGAAGATGGAGCGCGATAAACAAGGGTTGGTTGCAGATTCTGGGAGATATGGTGCATGGTGCTGGCGATAATTCGGGCGAGCCATGGTAGTGTAGTGGTGCATATGCGGAGGGTATGGGAGCGCGTGTACTCCATGCTCGTATGTCTTGGGCGCTTCCGAAGGGATCCAAAATTGTTCAACATTCTCGTCATATCCAGACAAGAAGTCGGTCATCGGCATCCGCTCCTGGGGCTCCATATTGGAGTAAGGCATACCCATCACATCGTTCGACGTCATACTAGCCAAGCGGAAAGCACTGCGCATGGGGGTCGACCCGGTGTGCCGCTCGTAGGCCTGACTGGGGAATGATCCGCCCTCGTGCCAGCCAGGGGACTGCAATGACCCGTGACTATAGACACTGGTAGGCGTGGTCTTTGGTGAATCGAGAGGCGAAAAGCTAGTCATGGAGGGGCACTCGTTCGAGCCCAGAGATGTACAATCAACTTCGACAGTTAGGCGATCAGACATGCTACCCTGGGGTCTCATTTCTTCGTTCTCACGGTCTTTGTGAGGCGGGGCAGGAGGAACTTCGTGTTTAACACCTGTCCGACGTACTGTTTAGTTTTCGGTTGGAACGACACAAGCTGATGCGGGGAGGTGATTGCAGATGGGAGCTGCACGCAGGTGGGAGAGAACAACAGTATAAGGCAGTGGAAGAGTGATGTGTACTGCGTCAGATGCGGGTATATGACACAACAAGCGCGGGTTGGTTGGGTTATTATTAGTATATTAGGGAATGTGGCAAGGTCCGCTGAGGAAGGTATACAAGTAGTGAACGGCAACGGGAGACCAAGATCGATCAACAAACAATTATCGGCAATCTCAATGAGAGATAGAGAGAGACAGTGAGGATGAGTTCCTTAGAGAGCGAAGGATGTGTTGGATAGGATGCACAAGCAATTGCAAGAATGAAGGAAGGCCAACCTGGGTTGGGAATAGAGCTGAGAAAGAAAGAGAGGGTGCGAGGTTGGGGAATGGAGGAGGACAGGCGAGGTGAAATAAACAAATCTCCCGGTCATATATTGTGAAGGGAACCAAAAGGCCGATCGCACTTACAGTCAGAAGTCATTGCTTAGCTAGTCCCCAAAGGAGTAGCGAGGGAAAGGACCAGAGTCAAAATCAAGAGGCGCGTCGCGTGCCTTTGGTGAGCCTACGCAAGGCCAGGAATGTAGACTATAGAGTTTCTCTAGTAACCGCGACAAGTCCCTCTGGAAGGGGAGGGAAAAGACGTCTTCGATTGGTAGAAACCTTGGTCTCGAGTCAAACCGTTTCCTAGGAGGCGCGATTGTCTCTGGATTAAAAGACAACGAACAAGGTGCAAGTAGACGCAGTAGACGAAAGGAGGGGGATAGACGTGATCACCGCGATGATGATGGAGGGGGGGGGGTGCGGATGGGGGTGGATGGAGATCGATAAGTCGCCCTCTAGACGCGGTTTTCTCAATCCTGTGTTCCCACGACGAGCGGAAGTAAGTGCGAGAGGGGTGAGAATAACGGTCGAGTTGTTGAGGTTGAAGCCGAAATGGGTTGTCTGTGTCTCAGTTGCAGCAGAAGGGTGTTGTAGTTATAGGAAAGACAGTACAGTCCAGCAAGGGGATAATGGAGACAATTGATTTGGAGACGCAGGTCAAGTGGAAGGGATGTCTTAGGATTATCGATAGAAGCGTAAATTTGTCTAATATTGCACTTGTGTTCCAAGGTCGAAGGGTTGTGCCTGGCGGAGAGGGGGGAAGCAGTGGTGGAGGTTCCTTTGTTGGCAGGGGAAACCGGGGGACGAAAGGACTCGAGTGGGAGGTTAAATCTGTTCTATTATATGGCCGAGTTACTGTATTAGGTGAAGGAGCAGAAGAGAGAACAGCGTGCAAGTGTGAGCTTCTTTCCTGTCGCCCTATCCCTCACTTGGAAAAGAGGGAGGGGGGTGGGAAAGATGGTTCAGAATTCTTTGGGGGAAGTAAGTAATTGTTTTTCCTTCGAATTTATTTTTATTGCGAGTTTATTTTATTTTCGGGATTCTTTTTTATTCCCTTCCTCTGAGTGATGTTATGATTTAAGGTATTTACTCTAGCAGTCTCCGTAGTCTTTTTTTTCATTTCATTTATTTTTCTAAAACTACTGCTTTGAATCTACACTCACCTTCCTCATCTTGCTGCCTGATACCCTCTAAGTATGTCCAAATCAATCAATCATTCTAGTTTTCTAGTTTTAGGTTGACTCTACAGTCAGAGACAAAGAAAACACTCAAAGATTAAAACCAATAATCCTATTATGTCCTAATGGCTCCGTTTCCTTGGTTTGCTCTTGTAGTGTAATTTGTCCACTTCCACTCCGGAAGTCACAATATGATCACAGATCTGAGTGTCTAATTCTGTCCGGTCAAGTGGATCATCCCATGGCTTGACTGGGTCCGCCTCATGCACCTCGAATCATCACCTCGAGAATGGACAGCAGATCATGATCGTAACAATCTTACTTCAGACTGTATCGGTGACGATAAATTACCTCTGGCAGATGCACTGCATCCGACTCGGGGTTTTCTTCCCCCCCTCCTCTCTCTTTCATCTCCTCGACTGTTGGTATACCGCAGGATGTGGCCGCTGTGATGTAGGTGACTCGGCGAGTGGTCAATCGGTCAATCGGAAGATGCGAACAAGATTAGAGTCAGCCAAACCGATTTCGCTGCGAGAGTAACAAGCAAGCGTAAGAACAAGAAAACAAAACAAAACAAGACTGAGCTAGACTGAGCTAGACTGAGCTAGATTAGACTGAGCTAGACGATACTAGAAGCGAAGAGTAAAGCAGAAGAATAATAACAAAAAGAAAAGAAATGGAGGAATGCATGAGGCGCAGATGTGGGAGGGGAAGAACCACTGATGGAATGTTCGAACGTCAGAGGATCACGACCACTAGGGGCAGGTTTAGCTTCTGGGGATAGCCCTGACTAAGTGGTTAGTGGGCAGGCAATAAGTTAACTTACGTTAACTAAAACTAAACTTTAACGCGGATCATGGAATTGGATCATCGTCCGTCAATCTTCCAGATGCTCGGGATCTCCCCCGGGTAGACTAAAAGTTATCCATCCATACCAGCCATAGGGTAGGCAACTATCTAGTTGGTGCATTACTCGTACTCTGTACTACTACTCTGTCACGACAGTACTAAAATACGGTACTTCGCCCACCGCTTCAATTGTTACTAACTACAGTCCCTAGTAAATAACAACCTCCCCATCCCTCCACTACCCCCGGCATTTCTTAGTTGGCTATCGAAAACAAAGTCTACCTGGATTATGATCATGAACAACAACCCTGATAAATATTCAATTGTTATGTGTTTTTCGAATCTTACCTGAATTTTTGAAACATTTGTACCACCAGACTTCCCAATCAGCTACGATAACGAATACTGGAGGTTTGCTAAAGTCCCTGGAGCCTGGGTCGATCGGCAATTTTGCTGAATCACCATGTGGAGTAGGAGGTTTGCATTTCGGCGTTTCGCACTGGAATCTCTGAGATCGAAATAGTAGTGTGTTCAAGCATCGATTGAGATTCATTGGGAGAGCACCAATGATAGTCAAAATAACCCTGGTAGGCTGGGGCAGGGAAGAATAAGCCCGCCGCCGCCTCCTCAGTTATCGTCAGTGTTGTCTATGTACAGGATGTACGTACTCCGTACTGTACATAGTATGAAACTCCACACCGAGAGCCACGATACTACCGTTCCCCTCCCCATTCTTACATGCTGCCACTGGGCATTCGCTCTACCAGCCCTAATAATATTGACTGCAGCTTCTAGTGCACCAGCCAGGTACAGACTTGACGCCACAGGTTTCCCAAAGCATCGTCGATCATCTTCTGGTTTCAACGCCACCGTCTAGACCACTGTCAAACCCCTCATCGTCCGAGACTCAGTGAGAGATTATCATACTTTTCTCGAGTGCAAGGCTCTGAGGCACATCAGCAATGAAGGCAGAACGTTTTTCTTTCCCGGCTTATCCATCCAGGATCCGGCTCCACTCGGTCTTATGCATGATGCCCTTATACCAAAGAAGGAAACCCGCATAGCCGGCGGCGTGCTGTCACCATTCATCGAGTGCTAGCAAACTACTTTTTGCCTCACTCTCTCGTCAACTTCAGAAGCAAGCCCTGGGGAAAGGGAGAAGGGGGAAGGGAGAGCGAGCAAAGACTACAATATTGGGTAGAGAGGGGGAGAATATGGAGTGAAGAAGAATCAATACCGGACAATTTATTCCCATGCAATCATCCCCCACACAGCAAGAGGAGCCCGAGACCGAATCCCGTCTCGGGAATTCTTACCGTGGAGATCTTATCCTATCCCACACAGAAAAGAACAAGCCCATCTGGCTCGGTCGAACCTCATCTAGGTTCTCCGAGGATAGTACAGTACTTACTATTCTCTTTTCCGTACAGGACGTTCCCAGCCGCCGGCGGCGGGAGTCTTTCATCACTCACGTTCAGGACCTAGTTCCCAGGCGTTTGCTTATGTTTGGTCTGTGCGAACCCGGCCTGGATTGTAGATGGGCCTAACCCCCCATGAGAAATTTGAAACCGTATCATTGTTTCTTTTTTGTTTTGTGTTGCAGACAGGCAACAAGTTCATTTGACAAGCGCCACTAGCAAGCGCGAGCCGAATTTCGAAGGACTTATCCTATCAACTATACGTAGCATTGTTATTACTGAGCGTGTCCAGATACATGCTATAACCTCATTTGCAAAGAACTGAACTAAACATACTAGTAAGGTGAGAAACCTCCCCCAACAGCCGTGCGCGGGAGTTACCCAATGTAGAATGAGGGTTGAGCTACGACGAAGTACTAGGACGAGCTATGGCCTCACTTGAACCATGGTTCATCGCGGACATACCGCCAGGCAAAACCCCACCTTTCCGTCCCTTGTCTGTTCAAGATAAGGAGCCACCGACCAAAAGGTACGTACGGTACCTCTCCGTACTTCGTACTGTATCTCAAAACGGAACATCTCCTCGAATATTTTATGCCACAAAAAATTGGGCTCAAGAACCAAAAGATTTTCAGTAAGCACTTTCACTTAGAGAGCGGTATGCTTACCTAAAAAATTGCTTGGCTGGAAATGAAAGCCGGGCTGGTGCAGGTTTTGAGGCGGTTAGATTATTTGCAGTCGCGGAATCTGAAGAGTCGGGAAATGGATGCCTCGGTCTCTCAGGGTTCTCTTTCTCTCTTTCTACCATTCTTTCCTACCCTCTGTTCTGTACGGAGGCGGGACTTTGAACACTCACTGACTGGTACGGAGTACTATAGTTAGGGACGGACCAGACAGGGACTAACCCAGTTCAGAGATCGGCTTACCAATTCTCAATGAGGAATGGACCCAGTGAGCGACTGAGCGAGTGAGTGGATAAGGGGAAGTGCGGCGTGAAGGGCAGCCGACAGGCGCTTTGGCCGGCGATCACTGATCAGACGCACATCATCCTCCCTAAGCCGACCGGGATCGTCCAGTCGCTGGATGCGCAGCTAGACTGAAGTCTGCAGGTTTGAAATTCGGCCATCTTTCACCAGCCGACCAGCCGCACCTATCATAAACTTCCCAGCCTTGCCAGATGCCAACAGCCACTCGGACCCTTCGCTCAGGAACGCTCCGACAGAACCTGGCCTACCAGCTTCACTCGCTCTGGAATGTGGGGAGGTGAGACGATATCCTTTGAGCCCCAGTAGAGGCAGAGAGGGAACAAGAAAAGGTTCCATCTGTTCTCAAACATCCACAATATGGGCGACGGTGTCACGACTTCTCGCCTGATACATGATCGTCATACCTCTGGCTCGTCCCAAAGGCCAAGTATTGCCCCCGAGCCAAACGAGACTCGATCATCGATGCGGTGACGAACACTCTCTCGTTTTCACCTACTGATGATGCATCGCTCGGAGAATCCCACTCTCAACGGTCGCTCTTTCATACTGCAGATGGAATTGGACAAACGGCACTGTCGATTATAAGACGCTAAACGGCTACTGGACGGAATAGTCCCTTCGACAGACGTCGAAGAAGGTTATTTCTGGACCCGCTTTTTCCTTTTTCCATCTTTGCTTTTTTTCCATCTTTTCTGTTTTACTTCTTTCGGTTTCTGTTGATGATGGGGCGCTGCCAGCAAGATTCCAAGGTTTCTGACCTGTCACGCGTCATTCGTTACTTCGGTCCTCAGAACGCCATGCGAAATGAGCTCCAAACTGGACAGATCATTCGTACTGAACACGTTGCTTGCGTCCCCTCAGACTTGGGGATGGATTCAGTATATACTGGGCTGGCTTTTTTGTCATACGATCAGGCCTAGCATGTATTGTCCG